GGAAAGAGGCTTCTTGCTCCTTGTGGCCTGGGCCTGCTGTGAGCAGGGGTGGGGCTTGTTGCACGTGCCTGCCTCCTGGGTTCTTTACTGCCAGAGCTCCGCTCCTGTGCGCTCCTGCAGGAAATGACCCGTGTGTGTGTATACACACACACACACACATATTCTGTAAGCCGCCCTGAGCCTGCCATGGTGGGGAGGGCGGGATACAAATTTAACAAATAAATAAATAAATAAATTGAGATTAAATATGCTTACTTTCATTTGTGTCCAGTGGCACCTTTAAGACCAACAAAGTTTTATTCAAGGTACCACTGGACTCAAATTCCGTTCTACTGCTTCAGACCAATATGGCTACCCACCTGAATTTACTTTTACTTTTTAGGGTTAGCATGCCTACAACCTTTTTGTTCTAAGCCATAACATGAAAGCAAATGTAGCCTGTATGTCTTGTTCCAGGCACAAACTATGCAAGGAACAAAGAACTAAGATAACGAAAAGGTCATCATCTGCCTCCCCATATAACACATGTCAGGAACGCAATAAAATCTTTTTTTGGTGTTTGTTCTTGCCTAAGGATATTGCTGGGGAGGATTAAACAAGATCAAAGAATGAACATGATAATCAGAAGGGATCCTACACAATCAAGGGGTATAAATGTTAGAGTATAATTGCATTTGTTAGAATCTCACCATATTGCAAGTCAAGAACACATCAGAGGATTGATCAGGCGTGGCCGGGCAGTCACCTCTTCTAATACTGGTGTGATTGGTACTGTATTATTGCAAATTAACTTCATACACAAGTTTGTTATCTTATTTATAACCTAGCTTTCTTCATAGCTTGAAGCAGCTAATAAATTCAGTTTTAAAACTTACTAAATACAATGAAACCCCACATAACCCTTCTCACCATCTAACAGGATGGTGTTTATGGATTTATTGCCTCCTTTCTGCTAAATTTTTTAGTAACGGTCTAATCTCTTAAATTTAAAGCAAAATGAATGCTTGCTTCATGTTTTTACATTAAGCATCTCTCTTTGAGTATGTTCTTCTGTAATTACTTATTTATGGCCCTCAGTTTGGACTGACAATTTTCTGCTAATGAGCAGAAACTTTCAACCACTGCAACTTGATAAATATTTTCTTGGAAAACATTAAAAGAAGCATGAAAGCATGAAACATGGTTATGTTATGAAAGTCCTTTACTTCAGATCCACATACTTTTGTTTGATTATTTCTTTTTAAAATTGGTGCTTCTTTAATGTGTAACTGATTATATTCTTCATTTTTAAATGTAGATGTGTCACAGGCAACTCCAGGCTAAAGTGAAACGAGAAAGCAAAGTAATTAAAGTGAGCCATGAAGATCCCAAAATTATATTATGCTTTTGGGATTTTTGGAAGTGCAATTATTATTGTTGCTTATGTGAAATGGAATGACTTCAGTCCAGTACTGGAAACAACGGAACGTGCTGTGGTTAATTTGGAAAAACAATTCAATAGTGAGCCATCAGGAATGGATCAGAAGGTCCTTTATGGAATTATGTTTGATGCTGGAAGCTCTGGAACTCGAATACACATATTCAAATTTACCCAAAACCCAAAAGGTAGATCAAACTATTTTGGTTAAAACTTTCTTGTACTACTAATAAGAAGTGCCAAGATATGGATTCTCATGCTAATTTTGATGCTTATTTGTTGAGTTGTTATTTCATAAATATTTTCAAAGGTGAATAGAAGGCAGAGTTGAAAGTCAATGAGCAATGTATTGTAGTATGGAAACAAGCATTCGAGCCTTTTTACTTGCAGTAATGTCTCTGTGTATATATAATCCAGTTGTTAGCCAACTTTTCCAACTATCCTGTTTCATGTTCTGTTAAATTACCTGAAGGCTAAGGTTACTTGAGTAGTATTTTACAGTATTGACTTTCTTTTCTAAATCAGTTCTTCAATAACAAGACTCATGGCCTGAATTACTTTAAATAATGTTCCTGTGATGGATTTTCTTAAAGCAGGCATTTTCTTGTTTCAGTGGAGACTTGCCACTGGAATTTGAGGTACTATCACTTGGTAAAGAGCATCTGCTTGAGTCTCTGCTTCTGTTCTCCTTAGCTGTAAAAAAGTCACCGTTTGATGGTTTCCTTGCATTTCTTTCCTGTACTGTTTTTCATGCTTTAAAATGCAGTGGCTCAACGTATTTAGAATTATTAGAAAAATATGTGCACCAAAATATGAGATAGCCTGTTGCACATCCAAAAATTGCCGTTTTGGGACTAAAATAGAAATAGCAAATTTAACCAGCTACTTAATGTTTCCCCTTGAGTGGAATAATCAGTAAAATAATCACATATTAAAACATATGTGACAAAACTCTGTATAGGGTGCATTGTATAGGGCCATGTATTAAGATGTACAAAGTGTTCTTAATTACAGCTTGCCAGGGTTTTGTCTTGCGCTCAGTATGCTTTTATGTCCTTTCCTGGATCATTACACTTCTTGATAAAGGCCAAGAGATGCAAAGGGTATCACAGGATACTGAAAAGAGAGTAGAGAGCAATACTTGTTCACAATCTTCCTCCATTCACATGGAGCTAAAGCTTTGAGATGGGAAAGCACAGAAATGACATGTCATATACGGTGTTCTCTTCATTTGCTGTTTGTTGCAACACCAACTTGAATTTGCAAGTATTCTGGTGTGAGAATGGATGAAACATACTACATATATTTATGATCCACTTATGTAGACTGTGCTTCGAATACTTTGCTATTGCAAGCTTGAGATTTACTACATAAATTGTAACCCTAAGCAGCAAATTCTGAGAGCACTCAGTTAATATATATTGCAGTTAATATAATATACATTGGGGTTTCATATTAATCCTTTTGATGTAATGTTGGCCTCTGTATTTTAATCTGCAAACTGCTACATTGTGTGTGTATCAACTCTTTTGAACTAGAATTTGTTTGCCAACAGAAACTCCTAAAGTAATCGATGAAACCTTCAGAGCACTGAAGCCGGGTCTGTCTGCATATGCCGACAACGTTGATGAGGTAATTTGAGTTGTACATCTTTAGCAGGGCACACGTGTTTCTTATTTTCTGTTCTCTTTAAGTTGAACGATTCAGTTTTGCTGGCCTTTTTCCAGGTAATATAGAATAGTTGTTATTGCCGGCACTCTTGGTATCTGAACAAGATGCTTAAGTCTTGTGGGTTTATAACTGCTGCCTTGCAATATAAATGTTGTATAAGTGCTGAAATGACTGCCTTAAGAACCATAGCACATGAATGGATAACTTTTAATGGTCTGCCTCCTGCACAAGTGGGTATATATGCTGGTCTGCAGTAGAACAAAGCTGGAATAACATCTCAAAAGCTAGTTACAGTAAAAAAGAGGGTGGGGGCAAGCTAATAGGAGAGGCCAGATGCCTCTCCTAACGGCTTACCTCCACCCTCATTTTCCTGTAACTAGCTTTTGAGATTTTATTCCAGCTTTGTCTGAAGAAGTGTGTTTTGCACACAAAAGCTTATACTTTGAATAAAACTTTGTTGGTCTCAAAGATGCTACTTGACTCAGACTTTGTTCTGATGCTTCTGACCAACATGGCTACCCACCTGAATCTGTCTGCAGTAGATCAGTTAGATTTGAGTCCAGTAGCACCTTAGGGACCAAAAAGAGCTGTAGGTTTTAGTAATCCATCATTCCCTGCCTAGGACATGGTGATGTAGATGTACTGCATGTCAGATGGCCAGCACTTTGAGACAGACGTGACTGTAATTTTAAGACATAAGTGCTGAGTAGTAGGAGTGCAGTCCAGGCCATTATTACAACTCAGTTCCAAACATGGTTATGTGAAAGCAGGCCCATTGATTTCAACTGGACTTTAATTTGATTGTAATTCTAAGCATGCACATTTGTGTTGGGGTCCATAGAATTTTACTTTGCTGGCCCAAGTTCATATACCTTTATGAAAAAAGGTGATGGAAACCACCTAAAGGGTAAGTTAACTTTTTCAGAGTAGCTCTGGGCAGCTAAACTAGTCCGTAACCTTGACTAAAAACACACAAAAATCTATTAGGTAAAGGTAAAGGTTCCCTTGCTCGAAAGCCAGTCGAATCCGACTCTAGGGTTGCGGTGCTCATCTCCGTTTCAAAGCCGAAGAGCCAGCGCTGTCCGAAGACATTTCCGTGGTCATGTGGCCAGCATGACTAAACACCAAGGCGCACGGAACGCTGTTACCTTCCCACCGAAGTGGTACCTATTTATCTACTTGCAATTTCTTGCTTTCGAACTGCTAGGTTGGCAGGAGCTGGAACTAGAGATGGGAGCTCACTCCATCATGCGGCACCCGGGTCTCAAACTCCTGAACTACCGACCTTCCACAGCTTGCAGTTCAGGGTCTTAACCACTTGAGCCACCGCAGCTCCGCTAAAAATAGAAAAATCTATTACATTTTGCCTAAAACAGAAAAAAGTGAAGTATTTAAATTTATATCAAAAATAATTTTTAATATTTATGTTATTATGGCAGGAGGGGCCCAAGAAGGTAAAAGTGCATAGAGCCCATGAAAGTCATAATGTGGCCCTGATGACATGGGCTGTGGTGCTGGGAAGGGCTGACTTGGGCCACCCCCAGGGACATGCATCTCTGGCCTCAGTCGTAGCACCTAATGCAACTGAAATAGGGAAGGCAGATGAGGTCACTGGATCGGCCAGATTCCCGGTCCTTGCTTTCCTGCCAATGCTTGATCATCACCCTTTTAGTTGAGCCTCTGGAGACAGGGTGTCAATTAACGTTTTGCATTGACATATGTTAACCACACAGTATGGACTTTGCTCTCTCCCTTGGGTGTTAGTGCTAAGTGCCATCTCTTTGCTTCCACTGCCACCAAGGTGCAGTGTTGTGCACTCTAAGTCTGAGACAGAGTCCCATGCAGCTTACCCCACCTAATGGGTTATAGGCCATCCCAGCAGGGGTTTATGTAGGGTTGGGGGGGACAGTGATTGGTTGCTGGGGAGGGGGTTTGGCTACCACTGGGGAAGGAGATGATTGGTTGTGACTGTAGTTGGTATCTTTTTTTTAAAAAATAAGCTTTATTCCCTCTCCTAAAAAGGAGAGATATTTCTTTTAAGTTCAAGGCTGTGCTTGGGCGATCCGGCTCTGGGAGACGTCCCAAGAGCCGGTCGCCATCCGCGCCGCCGAAACCGGAAGTCTGTAGTTGGTATCTTGTGCTCCACTGGTCCTTTAGAGTGGGACTGTACTGGGGGCTGGATTTTTCCTTTGTATGGGCACCTGTAGGGGACATTGTCTTTTTGATGGTGTGACTTTCTGTCACTGACAGGGAGCATTCCTGAGCTGGAGCAGCTTAGAGAACCAACTATCCCCCCCACCTGTCCACTTCTACACCAATACAGGGGCCCATGCTGCTGGCCCGCTGTTGAACAGCTGTGGTGAGGGCCAAGACCAGCAAAGCGGTGTTTGGGTGCTACGCTGATGCAACTCCTGCTTGCATGACATATCTGGGAGACATGCCACCATAGCAGCTAGTTTGTTCCCTGAGTGCTTTTGCCCCCTCCCCTAGATTTGTGCTGATAGAGTCCTGTGTCAATTGAGGCCAGGTTTTCTAACCATTTGGAAAAACTATTACGGATAAGGAGCAACTTCAAAGAAAACACACTGAATATTGTGAAAACACCTATGAAGACCCATTTGATACATTGGGACTCCAGAGTCAATTGGTTTCCACTGTCAAAAAGGAGAGATTGATAAGTGTTAATACCTCCAGATGTTAGCCATAAAGAGCAGTGGGGCAAAACATTATAGGATTGGGTAACAGAATGTTGGCAGGCTTTCAGAGAGACTGCCCCAGAGATGGGATTGGCCCCCTAGCCATCTACACAGTTGGGACTGGGAGTGTAAAACAACCTGTCAGTTTGAGAAAAGGCATGCAGAGAGGCCCAAGGAGGCACAAAGACGCAGGGAGAAAATGTCATTTGAAGGGCATTCTTCTGATGGGGGGGGGAGTGGAATCGTGAGATCACAAGGTAACAAGTCTTCAAGTCTAGATAGCTGGTATTTCTCTTTTCTGTTTTTATTTACTAGAAATTAAATTCAGTGCAAGCTTCTGTGGCATATATGGGTTTGAGGTAGTTTGGATCCATTGTATTGCATGCATAGCCCTTATCTGAAATAAGTAGGCTGTGACTTAGAGAAGCAACACGGACATCATAAAGATGGCAGTGGAATAGATCTGGATCTGAAAGCAGGGTTGTGCCTCTGGCAAAAGGAAAGTTGTGCATTCAGAGGTTTAGTTGACTCTGAAAAATGTCAGATGTAAATGTTCTCTTATATCATGTTCTTAGACTGGAAATGATAAATAATAGTAAAACGTGTGCCTAAATGTTAGTACATACAGATCTCTTACTAAATCATTCTTTCTTTAAACACTAAAGAAGCAATATTGTGATTTTTGTTTTGCCTCTTCAGAGTGCTCAAGGAATAAATGAGCTGCTTGCAGTTGCTAAAGAAGTTGTTCCTACGGAATTATGGAAGTCCACCCCTTTAATCCTTAAAGCAACAGCTGGTTTAAGGCTACTACCAGGAGAAAAAGCAAATGAATTGCTGAATAAGGTACTTTTTATTTAAAATAACATTATTTAGTTACTTTCGTGTTCCAATTTCATTCCATGGTACTTAGGGCAGCATACATGGGGTTCCTAGCAAGTCTCCCATCCAGATGGGACCAAACCAGCTTACCTTCAGGAGAAACATAGCTGTGTCATTAGCATACCTATAATGCCTAACTCTAAGCCTCTGGATGACTTATGAATGTTAACTGCACCTTTATAGGTTATAATGTATTTCCAATGCAGCCCTGTGTTAACATCCTGTTATCCAATATTATTCTTGAAGTTTATTAATTAATGGATCATGGTACAAATATTGGAAGATTTTAATTAGACCAGTAGTTGAATGGGTAAAATATAGTGTACAATCCTAATTTAAGTTGTAAAGACAAGGGAAATCCTAGAGTATGGTTTAAAGGAAGATCTATGCAGCAGCAAGATGGGTAGCCGTGTTAGTTTGCTGGTAGCAATAGAAAATTTGTGGTAGGGTATGGCCCCATAGAATACAATGGAAAGATCGTGCCACCACTGCAGCGCGACTCTAGAGAGAAGGGGTTTAAAGTTTAAACCCTTGCTCGCTTTGCTTCCTCCCCCCCCCAGCCCGCCTTGGCCGGGCCGCTGGGGGGGGGGGGGGGGGGCCTTACCTTGGCAGGCCGGCTGGGGAGGGGAGGGGAGGCTTTTGAAGATGCCCCCCCTTTTTTTGCTGCCGCAGCTGGCTTGCCAAAGTGGGCTGGGGGAGGGAAAGCGAAGAGAGAAGGGTTTTAACCTCCTTCTCTCTGGAGTCGCGCCGCAGTGGCGGCGGCACAGTCTTTCCATTGTATTCTATGGGGCCATAGGATACAATAGGAGACTGTGCCACTGCTGCAGCACGACTCTAGAGAGAAGGAGTTTAAACTTTAAACCCCTTCTTGCTTTGCTTCCTCTGCAAGCCCGCTGGGAACTGGAGGCGGGGCTTGCTGCCACCGCCATTTGTGCCTGCTCCTGGGCTGCCGGAGCGCTACTCTGGCTCGCTCCGGCCCCAAATGACCCCTGAGTATTACCATGTTTGCATTGGTTAACATATCATGTTCAGAACTTATGCTTTGTTCAGACGACAGCTCTGTTTCCATTTTCTACTATTCTGGTAATATTACATAACTTTTCAGATGTATCATCCCACTAATTGCATTGATCTTTGATCTTGATCTTTGCCTGTTCTGCCTCATCAGCTTTGTGGTCTGGGACTGTTTCCTGATCCAGTATTGTTCCTAGATTTCCAGCTTCAAGGAATATGTTGCCCTTTCCTCTGGGCAATAAAGATCTAGATCTATCCACTGTCATATTTGCCTGAAAACATTCCTAAGTTAATTATTAAACTGCACATTATGAAGACACATCCCTTAAGTACAGTTTGAATACAGTTATGCTGTGTGGTTGCATTTTTCCTCTTTCTTTTCTTTGTAATTTGCCTTGAGTCTCAGTGAGAAAGGTAGATTATAAATAATAAATTTGAATATTACAACTGGTTCAAAATATGGCTGCAACTGTAGGCAGCCACAAGGAACAATGCTGTATCTGAAGGATCTGGATTGGTTATTATACCTGGCCTTTCCAGTCCAATTCAAGACTTTGCTTCTTGCCAGTAAAAACTCTGGGCCAAAGATACATAGGCGTATGTCTTAATCTGTGTGAGCTCTCTTGTTATCTCCTGGAGAGGTGTTGCTTCATATTCCTTTACTGTAAGAGGCAAAACTGGATGTCAGAAAGTTTTAATAAAGTTCCTCATCAAAGGCTCCTAAGTTAACTCAGCAGTCATGGGATAAGAGGACAAGTCCTCTTGAGAATTAAAAACTGGTTAATTAACAGGAAGCAGTGAGTATAAATGGGCAGTTTTCCCAGTGGAAGGTGGTAAGCAGCAGGGTACCACTGTGCTCAGTACTAGCTCCGATGCTTTTTAACATGTTCATTAATGATTTGGAGTTGGGAGTAAGCAGTAAAAAATACTAAGTTATTCAGGGTGGTGAGAACCAGGGAAGACTGTGAAGCACTCCAGAGGGATCTGTCAAGGCTGGGCAAGTGGGCGTCAATGTGGCAAATTAGGTTCAGCATGGGCAAGTGCAATGTAATGCACATTGGAGCCAAAAATCCTAATCAGATGGGGTCTGAACTAATCCTAATCAGATGGGGTCTGAACTAGCAGTAACCTACCAGAAGAGAGATCTTGGGGTCATGGTAGATAACTCACTGAAGACGTCGACTCAGTGTGCGAATGCAATAAAAAAGGCAAATGCTATGATGGATATTACGTAATGCCCCTGTATAAATCTATGGTGGGGTCTCATTTGGAGTACTGTGTACAGTTCTGCTCATCACACCTCAAAAAAGATACTGCAGCATTGGAAAAGGCGCAGAAAAGGGCAACTAAAAAGATTAAATGGATGGAACACCATCCCTACGAAGAAAGGCTAAAGAGGTTAGGGCTCTTTAACTTGGAGAAATGACAATTGAAGGGTGACATAATAGCAGTTTACAGAATTGAGATACAGAAGATAGAGAAAGAAGTACTTTTCTCCCTTTCTCACAATACAAGAACTCGTGGGCACTCAATGGAATTAATGAGCAGTAGGCTTCAAGAAAGCTTCAAGAGTGGGTTGTATAAACATATGGAGCTGAGGTCCATGAGTGGCTGTTAGCCACATGGAACACTATGTCTGGGGCAAGTGATGCTCTGTATTCTTGGTCCTTGGGGGGGCAACAGTGGGAGAGCTTCTGCAGTTCTGGCTTTTCTGGTGGACCTTGTGATGGCACCTGGGTTTTGGCCACTGTGTGTGGACTGAATGGGCCATTGGCCTGATCCAACATGGCTTTTCTTGTTTAACTTTAGGTAAAGAACATTCTTCTAGAGTCTCCATTCTTCGTAAAGGATGACTGTATCTCCATATTGGAAGGAGCAGATGAAGGTAGGTTGAGTTTCTTTGAAGTGATTTCATACAGTTGTTTTGATTCTGGAATAAAAGGATGATTTAAAAATAGGTATGCTCCCCCCCATGCTGAATTTTTTCTGTATAGTAGACAGACCTATTGGGGAACAAGGGCTACTGTGGTTGTTGTTGATAATTTCCTTTATATTTTAACTGTCACTCATTCACATGATACCTGCAAAGTATCAAAACGAGAAAGTGGCAGTCCCTGCCCCAGAGCACTTGCAGTCTGAAGACTGGCAGGAATGAAATACGGGAAGGAGACAATGTGAGAGGCAAAGGTGACATGTTACAAATATGAGTTCTGCTAATGCTGCTAGTCGGTGTTCTTTCTTATTCCTAGGCAGCAACTATTATATAGCAAACAGGCTGCCTTTGGAGTTCATAGCTGTTTCCATAACTGAATTAATGAGAGGTGTCATAATCCAACAAATGTGATTATTTATGGTTGCTGCATAGATGGGCACTTTGCTATGTAAATACCACCTGGCTCACAAGAGAAGGGTGTACCCTGGCGCCATAGACCAGTAAAGTCCATGTGTGAATGAAAGCAGGATTTCTCAAGACTATGTGAGCTAGATGAGGAACTCCATGCATAAAAAATCACATCAACACTGAGTTTTCTTCTAGAACACTGAGGTTTATTTCTCTGGTAAATGCAGCTATGATGACACCCTGTAGCTCCCCAAATGTCTGGCAGATTTTTCCCGCCAAAACTTCAATTCCCCTCTGTGTTTGAGTCACCTTACAGTAGCATGTATATCTTCTCTTTCCCTTTTATATAAACTTGAAACTGTCCCACCCTTTGTTCAGATATTGGTTTAGGCTTTAGACCCAGTACAGGAACTTGAGGGAAAGACAGGAGATGTCCTGTTTTATAAACCCTTGTGAAATGTCACTTGAGGCAAATTAACTTTCAAAAACTGAATAAAGATTTTATTAAACAGGCAGGGAATATATATGTATCATAGGGGTAGTCAAAGTTTTGAGATTGCTGAGGTAAAAACTTAATATATGCAGAGCTGAATTCTTAGAACATTCAAGAGAGTGTATCTGTAGTGGTTTCAAGGTTTTCTAATTCTTTGAGAGGTACTTTGTTTAGTATATTTCAGCACTAAGACAGTTCTTATTGATGTTTCTTCTGGAAGACAGCATTTGCTTAAAGTTTCTAGATTTCTTCCTTCAGAGTTCTAGGTTTTACTTTCCAGTAACACATGTGGTGTCTAATCTTCTCCCCTTTATCACAGACCAGGGTTCTCTTTAGGGTTGCCAAGTCAACTTACCTGCAAAGCGGGGGGATTCCTGGCTGTGGAAATGACATCATCGCGTCGCCCACGTTGGGGGTGGGGCACTGTGACTCGAGGGAAAACCATAGAGTTTTCCCTCGATTCACAGTGTCCCCCCCACAATGTGGCCAGCGTGATGATGTCACCTCCGGGTGACATCATCACACTGGGGACGCCCTCCGGTAGGGGGTGGAGTTGCCCCCGGGACCCAATCCGCTGGCGGTGGGTAACAGGCCTCCCGGGCGGGAATTTACCTGCCCCCAGCAGAGGCTTAGCAAGCCTAGTTCTCTTCCCAACCCCTTTCACTGGCAAGAAGTTATTCTCCTTGTCCCTAAGAAGCAATAAATCCTTTTACTATTTGGCTTGTAACTACCCAGACCTTCTGCCGAACCCTTCTCCAGTATCCTTTGTCTGTATAAGGCTGTTCTGTAGCTTTCCTGACTGAGAATCTAAGTTCTCCCTCAGAGCATGTTTAATATATTTCAGACAATGGGGTTTCTCTTCTCTCTGTAGAAGTACTTTTCTATTGCCTGTTAGAAAATACTGACTCCCAAATGTCTCTTCCCTCAGAAGCCGAATCCTTTGGCTATTGATCCAGATGTTGCATTTCAAACAAAGACCAAATTGCGAAAGACCTTTTTCCCTCCAGATCAGCTATTTTCTTTCCTCTCTCAGCTGATGTTGGCCAATCAGAGAGCAAGTAGAGCATCTAATCACATAAGCTCTTCTCTCCAGGGAAGATTAACTCATGAACTCCCTGACTCTCTGATACAAGCAGCATTTTTAAAAAGCCTGCTTTTCTGTCCAGTCTGTCACAGCAGCTCATTTGTGTCCCATGTACATATATGTGACTTGTTTGCCAGCACTCATCACTTTGCACTTATGAAAACTGTGGTTTGGAGAAATCCTGACTGAACAAACATGGCCCCAACTGTTCAGCTTTATCAATAAAGGTAGAAAACTTGCTTTGTGTAAATGCATATAACTTCAAAAATTTTCTTGCCAGGTATTTTTGCATGGATCACTGTCAACTTTTTAACTGGTATGTATATAAATCAATTGTTTATTTGACACTTGTGATTTATACATGTAAGTTAAGTACTCTTAACTAAGTAGTCTTTGCTCTATAAAACTACCCAGTGAATTGCTTCAAGTAAATCTCTAGGGAGAGTCTGAATTTTCAAAACCTGTTATATTAAAATATAGTTCTGGGAAGCACAGGAAAAAAAGAATAGTTCTGTGTATTAGTTGCTGTAGATATTCCAGGTTGTGTGGACATGGTCTTGGCATTGTAGAACCTGATGTTTTGCCAGTAACTGTGACTGGCATCCTCAGAGGTATAACACAGAAAGATGGACTTGGCCAACCTGAAAAATCAGCAGTGGCTGAACATAGCCTAACTCAAACAGGACACAGTATTTTGTTACAAGACACTGAAAGGCTGGACAACACTTCCAATTACCATGTCAGATTACACAGGGAAGCCATGGAAATTCATAAACATAAACGCAATTTCAACAGGAATGAAGAGAGTTTAAAAATAAATAGAGCATGGTTTCCTGTCCTGAAAAACACAAAAGGCTCTTCATCTGACAATAGCACTACAGATAAGATTAGAATTTCAACAGCCAATCCACATACAAAAGAACCTCCTCAGGAAACAGGAAACCTCCTCAGGAAACAATCCATATACAAAAGAACCTCCTCAGGAAAGCTCCTCCATTAGCATGTTCATAGCCTGGGAAACCCCTACAAGATAATGACTCAGCCCTACCCCACCTTCTGCCTACTTGCCTACCATTTTCTTCTCACCTTGACACAGAGAATACTCCATCTTTCTGTGTTATACCTCTGAGGATGCCAGTCACAGTTACTGGTGAAATGTCAGATTCTACAATGCCAAGACCACGGCCACAAACCCCAGAAAATCTACAGCAACTAATGAACTCCGGCCATGAAAGTCTTCGATAATATAAGTTCTGTGTATGTTTACCTCCTTATAATACCCAAAATAACTCTAGTGTTCACACTAGAACTATACATTATATTATATAGAGTGACACACAGCTTGCTGCTCTGTGCTATATATGGTTTCTTGATGATAAAAGTAACATTCAGAAATGAATTTAAAGCATAACATGTACCTGGTATCTCTGCATGAAGATCTGTCTCCATAGGACAAAAATAGTTATGTTCTCTGTATCCTTACCAGCTCCCTCCAAGTATGTTTTCTAAGTGCCATACCATACCATGCCAGGAAACTAGAGGCCTCTGTGCACTATCCTGACCACCCTACCCATCTCTGGTTTTTCAAATATGTAAGTGCTGTGCCGGTGCAGACAGTGATGAAGCCCATGGTCTCTTGTTTTTATGTACTATTCTGTTTCAGAAACAGTTTTGCATTTTGTTGACTCTTTATAATTAAGAGTTTAAAGAAAAAATTACGGTGTATGTTCCATTATTCCTGTTTATACAAAGAGAATAAACCACTGCTAATTATATAAAAATGTTATGTTGTGTATTCTTGAAGTCTTACAATATGAATTCTAGTAACCAGATTCTCAAATATGCTTTGGCAATATTTGTTACATTATATTCAAAATTAACAAGGAAGTAACATTAGAGACATCATATAGAGGATCTGAAATTTACAATTTGCAATATGAAGTTATCTACAATTTTTTCCAAAGTCCTTGTCCACGATAATTATAATGATTAGTTCAGCTTGACAGGGAACTCAACTGTTTGCCGGTAAACAAACTCTTTGAACCATACTGCTGGTAAACTGACAAGAAGCCCAGGTAGACTTCTCATTTGTGGCAAATCTTCATCAGCGTTGTTTTTGCTCGAAGCAAGTAATACTGGATAATATTTCACAAAGCTGGAACCAGTTTGTATTCTTTAAATATCCCAGCTGAACAAAAGTATTTATAAGAACATAGGTCTTCCTTCCCTTTGAAATGGTCACACATATATGTCGGATACTTGGCCAGAGACAGAATAATTGGTGAGAGACATTGCCTTCTTTGTGGATTGGTTCAGAATTATATACAGGCCTGATTTTCACGTGGAGCTTCCTCTTACATTGAAATACTACAAACCTGCTTGTCGCTTAATTGTTGTAAATGGTTTTAAGTGTGTGCTATTTGGTTTTGGGGGGCTGTGGTGGCTCAGTGATTAAGACACTGAACTGCAGACCGGAAGGTCGGTAGTTCAGCAGTTCAAGGCCCTAGTGCCGCATGATGGAGTGAGATCCTGTCTCTGGTCCCAGTTCCTTGCAACCTAGCAGTTCGAAAGCAAGAAATTTCAAGTAGATAGGTACCGCTTTGGTGGGAAGGTAACAGCGTTCTGTGCGCCTCGGTGTTTAGTCATGCCGGCCGCATGACCACAGGACAGCGTCTTCCAACAGCGCTGGCTCTCCGGCTTGGAAATGGAGATGAGCACCGCGCCCTAGAGTCTGATTCAACTGGCTTTCGAGCAAGGGAAACCTTTACTTTATTTGGTTTTAGGCCACTGAAGAAGGCTCCTTGAGCTGAAATACGTCTTGTCTAGTGGCTTTTTATGAGATATTCACATATGTGATTCATGTTCAGTTGATGTGCAAGTTCTGTAGGTTGGATTTTAGCATTTCTTATGTATCTATCTTGTTTTTAATTGTTAATTATTATACCATGTGATAAATACTTTGTTATATTTTTAAACTTTGTTATACTCTGCGTACCTTCTGAGTCCCCAGACAGAATGGATCACCCATGGAGAGCAACTTCCCTACCTTCCCCTTCCTGCCATGGCCCAAGTACCCCTTGAAAAACTGCTGGGTGGGATAATCCCTGGAAACAGCAAAATGGTTTGTAGTGGAAGGGGTGGAATTGATTATCCCCTCCTCCATCTGCAGAAATCATTCATGGGAACCAAGCCTGAGTCCTCCCCTCTGTTTTCCCATGCCCAAGAATTAAGTCTGGTACTCTATTAGATCATATTACACAAGTTCAAATAATGTTTTTCTTGGTTTATTTTGGGGGAAAATGTGCAGATTGCACAACTGTTGCATTTTTAAAAATTTATGTGTTTCAGGTAGCTTGAATGATCCAACAAAGGGAAGTGCAGGAATGCTGGAATTAGGAGGAGGATCAACACAGATCACATTTCAACTAAGCAGTGAGGTAATAAGAGTCCAGATCCTTCTAACAAAAAGGTTGTGATTAATCTTACCAGGTGGTTCCTGCCAGAGAGCTCTGACTTTTCTCTTTCACTTCCACTGTGCTTCCAGTTTGCCTGCGTATTGACAACTTGTCTTTTGCTCAAAATGAGGAAAGTCAGTCATCAGAATAAATCTTTTATATCCACAAGCTTTTGAAAAAGGGAGTGCTTCATTGCTGATTATAGGAGTGCCTTTTTTCAATTATATAGCTTGTAAACTGGCCCCTTATGTAGATTCTGCTGGCCTCGCTACACTGATGCACACTACCATAACCTACAGATTGGACTCATGAGCCTGCCTTTCTGAAGCACCAGTTTGTGCAAAATACGTAGCAGGGCTCCTCTCTGGGTTCAGCCACTTAAAGTACATAACTCCAGTGCTGCACGTGCTGCACTGATTGCCTGTTTCCTTCAGGACGTAGTGAATGTGCTTTTACCTTTTAAGCCTTTCATGGCCTTGGGTCATCATAGTTATTGAACCGCATCTCCTCGTTAAGAGCCCTCCCTCTCCAGCAAAATCACAGGCTCTTTATGTGGTGGCCCCAGTCCTTCAGAATTGTTTGCCAGAGTGGGTGGGGAGGGTACTTTCTCTTGCTATCTTTTGGAAGACACGCAAGGCAGTCTTATTCCAGAACAGCAGATTTGGCTGTGCTCGTTTTACTCCTGTGTGTTTAATTCCTATGTGTGTTAAATCTTAAGTGCTTTTAAATTTGTAAGGTGTGGGCTTTAATCTCTGTGTTAGTTTTTTAAAAATTGAACTATTTGTGTCTTTGCAATGTGGTTGCTGCATTTTAAATAAATAATTGTTTTATCTCATATCATATCTTATTTTTCATGAGCTAATAAGTGAGATAGTAGGACACAAGAACTATTACACCATCATTACCTTACAGCTTGTGACGATGCAAGATGATCCAGAACATTGAATCAGTATAGTAGAATGGGGCTCCTGAGACATGAAGAACTCTTCAGTAGAGTTCCTACTAGAAATGGGTGGGCACATGCCATAGAGACAAGATGGACTTATTTGTTGTCTGAATAGGCACTGTTACATACTAAGCACATCAAGCTTAGACAACAGCTAAGAGACAGGATAGATCCTGCCCCAGCAGTCTTGCATAGGATGCCACTATAATAACATTGGCACAAACTCATTGTGTGTCGTCATAACTGTGAACCTTGCACAATCCAAGAGGTAGTATTTACAATATGCCTGCCACTTACCCTCACGGTGAACACTATTAACATGTGCAGGAGATATGAGTTGTGAACTCTATCTTTCTCCTTCATACATTATGCTCTTCACTTTGGAGCATGATTACTATCAACCAAAAAAAGCCACATGACTACTGTATGCCGTGTGTGCCACCCCACCAAACACATAATAATAATTTTGAAGAATTAATAATAATAAATTATAAATAATATTGTTTAAACTACCAGGGTCTCTCTGTGCGTGTACTATAGTCACCCCACACTATTGAAACATAGCCAGCCCTTGTGTCTCTGGAGCGAGGGGAAGGGCTTCCCTCTGCCATCTTGCTCTCTCCTCAGCATGAGGTACCGCAGGTTGAGAGAGAGATTGTCAAGGCACCTGGAAGAAAGCAAGCTGACCATGAGGAAGGGGAGTTAAAAACAGCTACCACCCCACTGTGGCCAGCTTGTTCTTTTCCTGGGAGACTGCTGTGGCGCTGGTGATTTTACTTTCTCTTCTCTGCGTCCAGTTTGCTCTTTTCCCGGCAGGCACCTGGGTGCTGGGATGAAAGTGCAGAGGCTGTGGAGAAGGGTGTGGGGTTGTTACAGAGGTTGGGCCTTTTACTTCCATCCCTGGTGCGAGGCTCACAGATCAGGAAGACTCACCGCTTACCTGACTTCCTGTCCCTCTGGTGGCAGCTGTTTCAAGGTGCAAGCCAGCTGCCATCCATAAACCCCACTGGACAGTTTTCCTGGAACATGGAGTGGGTGCCACATTAAGGAACAATGCTCAGAAGGAGCCACAGGTGGCTCCTGAGCCACTGTGTGAGTATCAGCTGAGTATCATGGACTTGGCACAGGCTAATTAAAACATTTTGACTTCTCAGAGGGTGAAGGATTTAATCTGATAAAATATGCACAGGATCTTTTTTTCTATCTAAATTCATGGGTCTTGGTGTCTGTCTTTTCTGCTAAGTGTTACACAGTGGCTAGGATGCCACACTGCTTATGAACATGTCTAAAATGCAGAATACTGTGCTTGAACGGTGCTGACAACCTATAAACATTCATTTTGGTTTTGTTGGTTGGTTGGTTTGCCTTTCTCTTTCCATGGATTCTACCCAGTGTCCCATTTTTCTTTACAGACAACTCTGGAGGAGACATCTCCTAGTGACATCATTTCATTTCAGATGTTTAACCATAAGTACAAACTGTATTCTCACAGGTTAGTTGTGGAAAGGACTTTATTTCAAATTAGAAAACAAGTAGACTTTTAACAACGATAGCCAAGTCGGGAATATTCTATATTGGTATAATCCAGCATGGGTATGAAGAAAAGTGCACACAGTCAGGGTTAACTGTTTTTCATAGCTTTTGTTTGCATGGATAGCACATGCTGATGAAGCAAATATTTGAGTGAAGTTTGGAATAAATCAAAGCTTTAAGAGGATGTGTAATACCAGAGTAAGAATCATTGGTGAGAAAACATGGTCTAAGAAGCAGGAGAGAAAAGAACAATGGTGGCTAGAGAATGAGTGAACCTTTTCCAGTTTGGTGTAGTGGTTAAGTGCGCGGACTCTAATCTGGGAGAACCGGGTTTGATTCCCCACTCCTCCACTTGCACCTGACTGGATGACCTTGGGCAAGCCGTAGTTCTGATAAGAGCTGTTCTTGAAAAAGAGCAGTTTCTGTCAGAGCTCTCTCAGCCTCACCTACCTCACAGGGTGTCTGTTGTGGGGAGGGGAAGGGAAAGGAATTTGTAAGCCGCTCTGAGACTCCTTTGGGTAGTGAAGGGCGGGGTATAAACCCAATCTCTTCTCTTCTTCTTTTAAATAGTAGCTCCTGGTGGCTGTCTTGCCCCCAGCTGATGCATTCAGATGGCTTGCTAAACTGTGGCTGAGGGAAAATGTGCATGAATCTGACTTGTTTCTAGGCTTGTGTGTGCATCTCACTCCTCCCTCCCATCTTACACCTAGAACTGCAGTTTAAAAACTCTGTCTAGTTACACATGATGTACAAATGCAGGTGAGTAAGTGGTTTAATGTCCTGGTTAGTTTGGAGGAAATTAAAAATTCCATCCTAAACAGAGTTAAATACTTTTTGAGATCGGTGGGCTTAGAAGAGTAACTCTGTTTAGGATAGATCCAGGTGGGCAGTCATGTTGGTCTGAAGCAACAGGAGTCCAGTGGCACCTTTAAGACCAACAAAGTTTAATTCTGGGTCTAAGAAGTGTGCGTGCACACGAAAGCTTATATCCAGAATTGTTGGTCTTAAAGGTGGCACTGGACCCAAACTTTGTTCTGTTTAGGACTGCATTGTAATTCTGGTTAACCCACATAAATTGATTCAGACTTCATGGGCAACCAGCATTAGTTTTTAATGTCTATTTTGGGGTTTGTTGGGGGTTTGTTGTTGTTTGTTCCGGCGGGGGACTTTTCCTTATGGCATCAAAATTTCCATAAATTTTAAATCTCTAGGTAGAATTAGCTTCCAGGTTCAATAAAAATTTATTGCTTCACCATCAGAATATTATTTTTGATTTTCCTTTTTTCTGCTTCTCCAGTTACTTGGGCCTTGGGTTAGGTTCGGCAAGGCTGGCAGTGTTAGGAGGAGTTCAGGGACAAGCCTGTAAGTATTTTTAAATCTTGGGGAGTTTACCTTTATCTTTTTGGTGGGGATTTTGTTTTGTGTTTCTGAACTTCTAACAGTCCTTTGGCTGAGGGTTTGAGGTTAGAGCTAAATATAACATATGCTGAAATATGAAATATAATTGTTTATTAATCACCTGGGGTAAGGAGGTCCTGTCCAGTGATACTTTTTTGAAAGAATGCATTTAAAGTAACTTTTTTCCCTTGGAGGGAAAAAAGTCACCTGCATGTTAGTGAACAGTGTTGCTGTAATACAGCCTTTTACCATTGACAGTTTTCTCTCTGTAAATAAAAAGCACCCAGAGTATAAAACATCCTCAGAAAAAGCAACAGTGTAAACATATTGTGGAGGGGTGGGGAGAAATACCCCATGAGGTTTTCCAGAAATCAAGTATACAGGGAAGCATTACTTAATGCTCTGGAGAAACACAGCCCCTTACTCATGATCAGTGTTCCCTCTAAGCTGAGTTAGTGTGAGCTAGCTCACAATTTTTTAGCCTCCGGCTCATACGTTTTTGTCTTAGCTCAGGAAGGATGGCTCCAGTGCAAACTAATTTATGCAGTAGCCAAATCACCTGCTCACAACTTTAATGCCAGTAGCTCACAAAGTAGAATTTTTGCTCACAGGACTCCACAGTTTAGAGGGAACATTGCTCATGATAACCTGTAAAATTATTCAGAACTGGTGTGAGTTATTTTATTGTTATTTTTTTGCTGTCAAGTCATGACCCTGGTGTTCTTTGGAGGTCTCCCATTCAAATACTAGCTGGGGCCGACGCTGCTTAGCTTCCAAGATCGGATGAGATCAGGCTTGCCTAGGCTATTCCAATCATTATGTATTATGAGTTTTTAAATATGCCTAAATATGCCTAATTCCAGCTCATGTGAAAATTTGTATCTAGACTTTGAAAGCTGTGAAACTTAGGGATGGGCACGAACCGACTCATGAACCTAAATCTGTGACAAACTGGGCCCAGTTCGTGCCATCCCGCCACCATGAACCCCCCACAACCCTCCCAAGGTGGTTTTGGGAGGTTTGTGCGGTTTGTGTCGGCTTGTGTCGGCAGACACAGTGGCACTGTGTGGTTTGTGCAGTTTGTGTTGGCAGACACACTGGCACTGGTGGGGCTTAGAGAAGGCATTAAAGAGACCACCACAGCAGCGCAACTCAGCGAATGAACTCAGAAGGCATTTAAATGCAAGCCACATGGCGCGTGAATGACATCCAAGCAGTGAGGTCACCCAGAAGTAGTGACCTGGAAGCCACACCACATCACGAACCATGAACCAGTTTGTTAAACAGGAAGGTTCGTGGTACATGAGACCCCCATGAACCTTCATGAACCTCCATTTTCCCAGTTTGTGCCCATCCCTAGTGAAACTTACTGAGCTTGACCACCAAAACAGACATTTATGAGATATTTTTCTGTCCCATGATATACTGGAATTTGGCATGGAGTAGTGAATACATCCCAAATACAATTTGTGTTATTATACTGTTGTAATGTTCCTGGTTATAAAATGTATGGATTGCATTGTCTACTAAAACTATAAAATAAAATATAACTTACCAAGTAAATATCAATTAAAACTGATCAGCAGCCATCCAGCTCAGCTTATAACAATGTCAAAAGACAAATGTTTACACTGTAGAATTTAAGCAGCATCATTGTCAAAATAAATAACAAAACACAAACAGCTAGAAAAATCACTACTACACAAACGCTTCACTTGGTGGCAAAACACAAATGTACTGAAAAACAGTATCTGTTGGTAGAGCGTGTAAGTGCTACTGCTGAAAATACCTTATTCCATGCTCACCTCATTTGAGTAAAACATGCATGTAGATAAATGGGCCTGAAGGACTTTAATTGGGTATATTTGCAATTTTTCTTATAGAAAACAAAGACATTTATACATTCCCGTTAATAGGACAAACAGTATAATTTGTATACTAGTTGTGTTAGAAATGATGCCTTTTATGTTATATCAGTACAAGAAGCTTGGACTTAATAAGAAAATAAGTATTCCATAAATTTCAGTTTTCCCTAAAATGTCAATTTTTATTTCTGAAAAGGGGGGGGGGGTAAATCTTAAATCTCTAGGTAATATTGGATCATTGTGTCCATATCCTTATAAAATGAATATCGTCCAGCCTTTATTTAAGTGTAATGGAAGTAATGGTACTAGGATGCTGGTGTGAGAAAATGTTAGGCCTATTAGGATAAGTCAGTAGCAGTGGGATGCAGGATTCCCATGTGATTTCTTTGGTTTTGTCTCAGTACCTTTATTCCTGTTACAGTAAAGGAAGATGAAGAATTGACAAGTCCCTGTTCATCACCTGATTTTCAGGGTGAATGGGAGCATGCCAAGATACTGTACAAAATTAAAGGGCAGAAGGCAGGTATAGTAACCTGGTTGCCTCTTGATTTGATATTATTCATGTTCCTTTGGTATTTCCATTAACTTGGAGAGGTTCTGCAAATAGGGGTATGTTAATATTTGAAAATGGTAATGAGAGGGATTTCATAACTGAAACAGTTCCCACAAGTTCTCTTTCTTATGGTCAGGAAGCCTGTGTATGTGTAGCAATGTACATAATTGGGGGGGGGTAACATTGAGAAGCAAATGTCTGGATCGTATGGTGTAAGGAGATGCTTGAAAGCGTATGGAAAATAGTAGACATTGGGGATGAGGCCTCAGTCTCCTGCTGTAGTTCTCACTTGTCTTTCTTGCAGAAGCTAATACTAGGCTTGACTTGCATGATTTATACACGTTTCAGGCTAGCTTTTTCTTGTGGCAGAGCTTAGATTTTTTTTAACAGAACACACACAGGTCTACCTGTAGCAAATTCTGCATGCACTAGGTACTTATTATTATGTAGTACTTTGATACAACATACAGTTTTTCTTAGGGTTGCCTGGTAACCCACAGGAGACCAGGGGAGTACACGGGCAGGTGGGACGGGACCATCAACAACAGCATGACGTCACTTCCAGGAAAAACCCATAAGTAGTATCATACCTATTTATGAATCTCCAGAAGTGCTATGGTAATTATTTTCTCCCAGTGGCTGCCGTGGTGGCAGTAGGAAATGGAAGCCAGGGGCAGGGGACCCCTGCAGCTAGTTTGGGGAGTAGCAACCCTATTTCCTATTGATACAGTATTTCACCAGACTTATAAGTGGGTTCATTGGTTCATCCAAAATTCTTATACCTATTGAATTGTTGAAATCCCACTTGTGAATGAATGATACCATGGAAGTTCGAAGCATTCTGGTTCATTGAGAGCCAAGCTAAATGAGTTGCTGGGAGGTCTGTGAATGGATATCAAAAGCACTTTTTATTGGTAAATAGCCCAGATCGCCTGGAGTGAGGAGGGTGCCTTCACTTGCAACATTTTGGAAGGCATGTAAGGCAGTCCTATTCCAGAGTGCATTTGGTGGAGGGTAAATTGACTCAAGGGGGCCGCGGTGGCTCAGGTGGTTAAAACACTGAACTGCAGACTGGAAGGTCGGTAGTTCAGCAGTTTGAGACCTGAGTGCCGCATGACAAAGTGATCTCCCGTCTCTGGTCCCAGCTCCTGCCAACCTAGCAGTTCGAAAGCAAGAAATTGCAAGTAGATAAATAGGTAACAGCGTTCCGTGCGCCTCGGTGTCATGCCGGCCACATGACCACGGAAACGTCTTCGGACAGTGCTGGCTCTTCGTCTTGGAAACGGAGATGAGCACCGCATCCCTAGAGTCGGATTCGACTGGCTTTTCGAGCAAGGGAAACCTTTACCGTTATCAACCTAAATTGATTCAGCAGATTTGGCTGTGCTTGTTTACTCCTGTGTGTTTATTTACTTAATGTATTTGCCACCTTTCTCCCTAATGGGGACTCCAGGTGGTTTATATAATCCTCCTCTCCTCCATTTTCTCCTCACAACAACTCTGCAAGGCTGGTTAGGCTGAGAACGTGTGACTGGCCCAAGGTCACCCAGCAAGCAGAGTGGGGATTTGAGCCTGGGTCTCCCAGATCCCGATCCTACACTGTAACCACTATACCACACTGCCTCTAAATTTTATCTGTGTTTCATTTTTGTTAATTCAACGGTGTCCTCTTCGCAACACGATTGCTGCATTGTTTGCTACCTTCAGTCTGAAGAGATCCAGCAGGATAGAAATATTTTTAATAGTTAAATATAGTCTATTTGCCCAGTAGTAGGGTTGCGAGGTCCCCTTGCCATTGTAGTGGAGGGATTTGGGAGGTGTTCCAGTGCGATGTGGCTATGAAGAAAGCTAATGCAATTTTAGGATGCATTAACAGAAGCGTTGTGTCCAGATCAAGGGAGGTGGTAGTTCCGCTCTATTCTGCTACGGTCAGGCCTCACCTGGAGTACTGTGTCCAGTTTTGGGCACCACATTTTAGGAAGGATGTTGACAAGCTCGAGCGTGTCCAGAAGAGGGCAACCAGGATAATCATTATTTGCCTGGGAAAGAAAAGGCTTAGAGGGGACATGATTGCAGTCTTCAAGTATTTGAAGGGCTGTCATGTAGAAGATGGAGCAGATCTATTCTCTCTTGCTCCGGATTGCAAGACTAGATCTAATGGGTGGAAATTACAAGGGAGTCGTTACCGGCTAAATATCAGGAGAAACTTCCTAACTGTAAGAGTGGTTGAGTAGTGGAACAGTCTGCCTCGGGAGGTGGTGGATACTCCTTCGCTGGACGTTTTCAAGCGGAGGCTGGACGACCATCTTTTGGGTATGTTGTAGGTATGTAGGGCTATCTTTCAGCTATGCTCCTGCAGAGTGCAGGGGGTTGGGACTAGATGACCTGCAAGGTCCCTTCCAACTCTAACATTCTATGATTCTAAGCGGGATATCGCATGGGACATCCCCATGTGATGTCACTCTGGTTTTGGGGCAAAAACTCTATGGTTTTTTGGCTTCAACTTCCGGTGATGTCATTGCGCCGTGGACATTGCGTGACAACGTCCCTGTTTGTGGGTGGGGTTTCCCCCACCAGACAGCTGGCCAGCGGCAGATTAGAGCCCCTAAAAGTGGGGGAACTCCCACTGGGAACTGGGGGCTGGCAACCCTACCCAGTAGAGCAAATGGCACTTCAAGGGGATGTTTGAAGTAGGAACTGGAACCGCACCCCACCCTTTCACTGTGAGCCCTGCTCCAGACCAGGGGCCTTCACAGCTGCTATTTAACAATAACACTTCAGCAGAAATAAATTCACAGATCTCTCAGCAGCTCTCCTGGCCTGGCCCTGAAAATCAGATTATTTCAAATATGGTATGCTTTTTTTTTTAATGATGAGTTGTGTTTTCCCATGAATTACTCATGAAGATTGTAAAGACCATCTTTCTTCATTATTGCACTTTATATCCTGCCTCTTTTCCTTGGAACTTAATGCAGTGTACATAGGATTTTCACACATTCTTGCATCCAGACACTGACATGGCCTGGCAAACGTTAGCAAAGTTTCTGTACCCTGCACCTTCAGACTATATCGTGGTCTTTCAATAAAAAGCATTGCACAGATGGTGCAATTATAAATAACTGTGCATACTGCATAGTATGATAACTTGGTGTTAAACCAAATATGTGTTTATGTAGCTTGACATGGCTGGGGAGAAAGTGGTGCATGGATTTGGAATTGCCTTTTTTGTCACTGCTGTGTTTTGTTTGTGTATCTTATTGTCAGGGGTCTTTTTGTAGAAAAAGAGCTGCCGGAGCTCATTAGCCTAACTCATTTGCATATGCCACACCCCCTGACATCACCGGAAGTGTGTCAGAAGGCAACACCCACCTCTCAGGCTCCATCCCAAAAATCTTCAGGGATTTCCCAACTCACATTCAAACCTGGGTCTCCCAAATCCTTGTCTGGAACACTAACCACTACACAACACTTCATGTGGCAGCAGCTGCTGAGCAGTAGTTTTTTTCTTTCCAAAGCCCTCTCTCCTTCCTGATGCAAGCTGTAGAGGCACAGTTTACACACACAAACGGGTTTTTTTCTTTGCAACCCCCGTTCCCCCCCTGGAGGCACTTTTTACACACAGAGACAAACATTTTTTTCTTTTCAAAGCTCTCTCTCCTTCCTGATGCAAGCTGTAGAGGCACAGTTTACACACACAAACAAACCGGTTTTTTTCTTCTTTGCAACCCCCGTTCCCACCCTGGAGGCACTTTTCACACACAGAGACAAACGGTTTTTTTCTTTTCAGAGCTCTCTCTCCTTCCTGGTGCAAGCTGTAGAGGCACAGTTTACACACACAAACAAACCGGTTTTTTCTTCTTTGCAACCCCCGTTGCCCCCTGGAGGCACTTTTGACACAGAGAGACAAACGTTTTTTTTCTTTCCAAAGCGCTCTCTCCTTCCTGGTGCAAGCTGTAGAGGCACAGTTTACACACACAAACAAACCGTTTTTTTCTTTTTTGCAACCCCCGTTCCCCCACTGGAGGCACATTTTAAACACACACATTTTTTTCCTTTACCTCTTAGCGAGGGCCTGGAAAAGCAGGGAGGGAGGTTGCGAGGCCGGGCCTGGAAAGGCAGGGAGGGGAACCCCAGAACTTATTTCTTCTTCTTTCTCTGGAGCCGGACTGAGAGGAGGGCTGCTGGGAGGGGGGCGGGGCTTGCTACATGTCCCCACCCCCTGGCCTCCTCTCTTCCGAGCTACTTTCCAGTGAGCTCGGCCCCCAAAAGAGGCCTGGCCACCGCTGAATTTTCCTCACCCTTGTCCATCGAAACTAGTAACAGGCATCTTATGGCCTTTTGTATGCTTTCTGCTTTATGGCGTGCGCAGGTTCTTTCCCCATTCTGTTTCTCTCTGGCGCTCAACTCAGGACTGTTTATGCTGGGGCTGGCTGCTGGGAGCAGCCCCCTGGGCTGGTCACTCCCGGAGCGGGGCTCCGGAGAGCTCCAGCCGTTTGTGTATCTTATTGTATTGATCTTTATATATCACCTGTAGTAATCAGTTGATTACTCCTAAACTCAAAAAGTGCTTTTCAAATTGTTTGAATAATTTGCTTCATGCTTGGATTGCTCTAAGTTTGAACCTAGATTTATGAGGCTTGTACAAATGGCCGACTACTTGAAATTGCTGAGCTCCGAGCTTTCACCAGCTTTTCACTGAAGATGCCTGCTGCTCAGCACTCTAGAAAGGGCACTTTGTTCAGATTAGGATTTCATGGCAATCTGTTGAATAATATTGGCCACATTTCCATGTTGAATTGTAGTCTAAATTTATTTGTTATATGAACATAGCAAATGCTTCTTACATACCTGAATTTAATTAGTAACGCTGAATTATTACCGGTGGTACTCTTAATTTCTTTTAGGAAAACCTGTCTATGAATCCTGTTTTGATGAAGTAACAAAAATACTCCACCAGAAGATTCATCAGATACCTGAAGTAAAGGACTTAGAATTTTATGCTTTTGCTTACTATTATGACTTGGCTAAAGATCGTGGATTAATAGGTAAAGTTGCTTTTGATTTTAATGGTAAATAAGGGTGGTTAAAAGAAAGCTGCACTTGAGTTTCAGTATTCATTAGACTTTTAATGTTGTAGAATTTACTAGACTTTAGGAAATGATTTAAAGTTAACAGCCAAGATGGCTGTCTGAAATTAATGTTTTTACTTGATATTTTATCTTCATTTCCAGATGTCTCTGGAGCTGTGCATTTTATTTGTTCCTGCTTTTTTACTAGAAGTATACTGTTACCAGGATGACACTAGCTAACTTGCTTAAGAGTGTTTCTTGTATGGCGCATCCTGCCCTTCAGTACAGGGTGTTGGACTTGCAGATCTTCTGTCTTTACAAGTCAGTTCTGTAGACTTATTTCCTAAGCTTCCTGGATCTTCTGCTGACTTCCTGCAAAACAGCTATTTTGGTGTATGCCTGGAGACTGTTGTCTAAGGACTTTATTTTGTGCGCCTTCCTGTTCATCACTATCCTGTCACCTTGTACTACAGTGAAAGAGCGTATTAGAATCCCCAAACCCCACTTCTGGACCTCAAGACCCAATAGTCTCTCTCTCCACTGTCAAACTGAACGCTACACTACAGCGTGGTATATTTGTAGCATTTCTTTGAGACGCCAAACACTGATGCTTCATTCTCTGTCATTCTTTGAAGCACCAGCATATTTCTAGATGACTGTCTTTACTTCATAGGCCCACAGTTGAAGGGTGCTGGATTCTTTCATCTTTGCTGTTCCTCCCTCTTCCCCCACTCCATTCTTCTACTGGTCCCTGTGGCTAAAAGAGGGTGACACAAAACTAATGTGAGCAATAGAAGTAACAGAATTTGCTACTTGTGGTAGTGTGGGGCAGAGTGCTTGCCTTTCCTAGTGATATCTTGGTGATATGCAACAGTGTCTAGGCATGAGAGAGGCAATCTGTCACATGGGCAACTTTTATATTTTTTTCCTGCAGGACTGCTATTGCTGTCTATTTTACCAAGCTCCTTTACCACAGTATAAATTCAGTAAGATTTGCCATAGCATAAAATGGTCATCACTGCAACAGTGAGGAATACTGCCAGAAGAACACCCCAAGATCTGTTACGAGTAACTTCATTAACCATGGTTACCCCTGAACAGGAGCTGGTCCTCTAGGAAACTCAGGCTGATTTCGCACTAGAGCTGCCTCGCTGTTGCGCCGCCGTTTGCCCCGGTTCTATTGGTCAATTTCACACCTGAAGCTGCGCGGCTGATTTTGACCTGCGGCTTCGCCCGATTTCCCCCGCAGTTTCGTGATCCTATTTTTTGAGGATCAACGAAATTGCGGGGAAAATTGGGTGAAGCCGCAGGTCAAAATCAGCCGCGCAGCTTCAGGTGTGAAATTGACCAATAGAACCGGGGCAAACGGCGGTGCAACAGCGAGGCAGCTCTAGTGTGAAATCAGCCTCAGTGATGTATGGGGCTCTCCCTTTTCCTCCTTTTACCTTCACAACAATCCTGTGATGTATCTTAGGCTGAGTGGGAATAACTAGTCCAAGATTATCCAGCAAACTTTGGACTAAAGTGAGGATTTGAACTCAGGTCTTCTAAAAACACTAGTCAAGCATTCAAATCACTACACCACACTTACTCTCACTGAAGCAGATTCAGGTGGGTAGCCGTGTTGGTCTGAAGCAGCAGAACAAAGTCTGAGTCCAGTGGCACCTTTAAGACCAACAAAGTTTTATTCAAGGTATGAGCTTTTGTGGGCAAGGCACACTTCTTCACTAAAGCAGTAGACCTGTGTAGGCTATACCCCTTCAGACTGCTGGCAGAGACTCATGTGGTAGAATATACTTCAATTAAAAATATTCCATCTGAGTAGGAGAACAAATATTAGGAAGGAGGGTTCTAGACTCGCCTTGTTCCTGATAAGCTAATTTTCTGTATGCAGGGAATCTTTTGTACAGAAAAGCACTTAACCATGTGATTCCCTCACCAGCAGTCTGTAGTGGTGGCATTCCAGCCCCCGAGTTAAATACCTTAATGAGAAGTAGACTGGAGATTCCTGAGACCCTGTAAGCACTACTTGAATCAACATGTAATATAACTGCAGATTGTTATGCTGTCACCCTTCTCCACCTCCAAATCAGACTAGCCTTTTCCTTTCTAGGTAAAGAAGGAGGGACCCTGGCTATCAGTGACTTTGAAACTGCTGCAAAGAATGGTACGTCCTTCTTTCCTCCTTCGTTACTTTTCTCAGATGGGCTTGGCAGGTTGATGGCAAAGTTTTAGTACCGTGGAGGGGCATCTGCCTGCCAAGGAGGAAGTAAAATGTCCCCAGACACTAGTATTATTAAGTACATAATCTGCCGTTTTGTTTTGTTTTTCCTTTTTTGTTCTCCTGAAGCATGTGGCAATATGGAGGCACACCAAGGAGAGCATCCGTTCCTCTGCATGGATCTCACCTATATCAGTTTGCTGTTGCAAGAACTGGGCTTTCCAAAGAGCTATGTTCTTAAGGTAGTTGTTCTTTATTGATGTACGCAGTGTGAAAACAAGCATCAAGGTTCTGCACCAAGAAAGTTCAACAAAATGCATTTAAATCCTGCAGATTCGACAAAGCGTTGTATTTTCCCTTTGCAAATATTCTGGCACTCTTTGAGTTCCCTGTGTGTTGGCAGCTTGTGACAAGGGCAGAGATGGGGAGGTCTCTGCTTATAGACAGTGGAAGAGACAGACAGGGAACCTTGAGGAGGGACAGGTGACAGAGAATAATGCCTAAGGGTACATAGTTCCACACTGTATGCCCATGCATCTCTGAAATTAAAATCCAAGTAATTTTGGCAAAGTAATAATGAAAACTGGCAGATTTGTTCTGACCCTTCATACTGAGCTGTTTTAGTTTATAAGCTCTCATTGGGCTATGGCCATGCAGTGTAAAACTTTGCAAGGACTAAATGCTTTTATTTCCCGTTATGAAAGCTGAGAGTCTGAGGAGGGCAAAAAACAAAACAAAAAACCAACCCCAGTTTATGTTGCACAGCAGGCTAGTTCATACATACCTGTTCATCACATGATGACTGCAAAATCAAGTAATGACTGACTTGCATGTGTAAATGGGCCATGTATCCAACACAACAGATATTAAGCTTTTATTGTTGGCCCTCTTTTGCATTTGACTAACCTTTTTTAGGTTCTGGATTCCATGTACCCAACACAACAGATAATACTCCCATTCACTTCATACGGAATGCTTTTATAATGGAGTCATTTCACACACAGTCATGAAATACAGAAAAATCAAATGATAAACACGTATGTGTGAAACATGTATGAGGAACATCTGCATTTCCAACATTCTTGTCTACTTTGCAGCTTGCCCGAAAAATCAACGATGTTGAAACTGGCTGGTCTCTGGGAGCGACCCTTCACTACATGGATTCACTTCACATACTGCAGTATTGATTGTCTAGGGGTGAAAAGCTAAATCTGGAAGAAAAAAGTGCAGAGGTAAATAAGCATGTAAATGAGAGGTACAGATGTAATTCAAAATCTGCAAAAATCTAACTTTTCTATTTAGTGAAATTTTATGTAAAAGTATATTTTAGGTACTTCTAAAGAATCTGTCCATATAATTTTTAAAAGACTGCTTTTCATGATAAGGTATTAGAAACTGAGGACCTGTGAAGACTCACAGGTGGGAAAAATCTCATGTCCTTTCCTACTTCTCTTCTTCCAGCTCTGTTTGCTGCCCTCTCTCCCATCTGTCTGTCTTTCATCCCCTATATTTCTTCTCCCCACCCCCACTCAAACTCCCATTATTTTGTTTTTCCTCCCAGTCCCCTTGTTTACTCTGCTGCTTTCCCAACCCCCATAGGCTCTTCTGGTTCCACCTACATCTCCATCTTATGTTGGATACCATTTTGGGTCCTAAAACATGTGCAGATGTTACTGTTCATAGGAGGGAAGTTAATCGCTACCCCCTTTTAAGTGCTTAGGTTTGCCAAAGCATCTACCTGGGTGGCCGTGTTGTGTGGATTTATTGATCTGCCTGTTGGGGCCATCCTTGGGAATTAAAACAAATAGTGCTGTTTATCTTTTATGTTCTTGCTTCTGCTACCATGCAGTTTCAATCGCAAATCAGGTTAATGACATGAGCATATTTTGACCGTACAGTGTGACAATGTGCCAGTAGTTGCGGGTTAATAGTATCTAGATAAGTACCAGATTTCCATCACCACACATCATGGAAGAAAAGCACCTTATCTCTAAGATAAATTTCAATCAGTGTTGGAGGTGCAGGCACTCTGTGTGTGTTTTCTTGATGAGATTTCACATCTAAGGGTCTTTACATAGAAAACTTGATTCACATGCAGGTTTATACTCAAAGTAGCTGGCAATGTTTCCATTCCATTTTTTTCTGCAATGGAAACTGTTTGCCAGGACCTGCAATATAGGATCATATGATAAGCTTTGACACTTCTTTACAGATTTGTGAATGTTTTCACTTGATCATTCCTCTGTAATGACAGATCCCATATGCTGATGTCCATGCTTGTATGTATTACAACTGGTAATTTGTATGGTTTATCACAGTTAAAGCCATCACCAGACACAGCATGCAAGCTGTTTGCCTGACTAATAGATATGTAATGATATCTAGTTATGGCTGTCATTGTTGCATGGAAATTGCACACTGCTGTACTGAATATACAGAATAGTTGCATGGTTTCCATCTTTTCTCTCTTCTGCATCAGAACTCTTAAGTTTTGTAGTTCTTTTCAAATGTTTGCTCTCACAAGTTTTGTCAAACACCTGCCAGAATCTGTCAGTTCAATAGATGTTGCTAGAACTGTTTGCTGTGAATTGATTATGAAGCCAGGGATGGGTCATGTGGAGTACAAGCATCACTAGCAAGTACAGTTGGGCACATTTAGCATATCCAGTAGCTTTATAAAGAGCATGTAACTTATTACAATAAGGTAGGTTTTAAACATTCCTATTAAACTATGGTGCTGGAGAAGACTCTTGAGAGTCCCTTGGACTGCAAGGAGATCAAATCAATCAGTCCTAAAGGAAATCAACCCTGACTGTTCCCTGGAAGGCCAGATCCTGGAGCTGAAGCTCAAATACTTTGGCCACCAAATGAGAAGGGAGCAGTCACTGGAGAAGACCCTGATGCTGGGAAAGATTGAAGGTCAAAGAAGACGGGGACGACAAAGGATGAGATGGTTAGACAGTGTTATCGATGCAACTAACATGAAGTTGAGCAAACTTCAGAGGACGGCGGAAGACAGGAGGGCCTGGCAAGATGTGGTCCATGGGGTCGTGAAGAGTCGGACTCAACTGTGTGACTGAACAACAATAAAATCTAGATACTGTAACCATAAGAAAGCAGGACAGGGCTGACACAGGCTGTATTTCTGGAACACATGAGCTTCCTACCATGCTGCATTCTCTGACCTTTCCTTTTTTTCCCCATCCACATTTTTTTTCTGTGCCATCAAGTCACAGTTGACATACGATGACCCTGTAGGGTTTTCAAGACAAGAGACATTCTGAGGTCTGAGACATTGCTTCTGTATAGACCTTGTAAATGCTAACCTATGTTTTAATTTATTCACATTTTAAATTCATGCTTTTTTCTCTCCAATTGGCATATTAGCCTTTCCAGTGCACCTTCAGACCCACTACCCACAAAACCTCTGGCTATGGAGCCATCTTTATATCTTCTAACCAGACAGGAAAAAGTAGGCAGTTTCTAGAATAGTAAAATCAAAGGGGCTCTGACCCAGATGGCCCAGGCTAACCCAATCTCAGAAGCTAAGCAAGGTTGGCCCCGGGTAGTATTTGGATGGGAGACCACTAAGGAAGTCCAGGGTCATTACACAGAGGCAGGCAGTGGCGAATCACTTCTGAGCGTCTCTTTCCTTGAAATCCCTGTGGGGTTGCCATAAGTCAGCTGTGACTTGACAGCACTTTCCACCACAAAACCAAAGAGATTAAACTGGAAGGCAAGAGGTGAAATGAAGATGAATACAATATACTAGGCCACCCATGATTGTGTTGGCATTTACAGGGGTACCTCCTTTAGCACCAGTCTGGGCCTACTTCATTAACCGCTGCTGTCCCAAATAAAAGTAGCAACCATTCTCTCTTTCCTCAGGTTCAGTTAGGATGCAGCTAGCTCTCAGAATATCCCCTTGCTTGCCTCAATAAGATTCCTGTAGCACCTTAAAGACGAACAAAATTTGTGGTAAGGTATGAGACTTTGTGAGTCACTGCTCACTTCCTCAGATATAGCTAGACTGTAGGACAGAGGGACTCACATTCTAGCTGTATCTGAAGAAGTGAGCAGTGACTCACGAAAGCGCATACCTTACCATAAATTTTGTTAGCCTTTAAGGTCTTACTCTTTTCTGTTGCTACAGACAAACTAACGTGGCTATCTGTCTTGAATTTGTCTCAGTAAGTTGCAGCTGAGCCCCCTCCACCCTTTCAGGCTTGCCTTGGCTGTGGACCTGTTATGGTGTCCTCTATCCCTAGGTTATACTCAGACCTGCACCTCTGACTTCTGTCTTCCCCTCTCCAAGAATATTTCACCTTAGAACACCCAGCTCTTTTAAGACAACTATGCCTTCATGATCAAGGACAAAAAAATGCAGTCTTGAGGAACATGGTAACTTAACCACCAGAACCCTGTTCTAGCAGTTGTAGTGGGATCTCTGTACAATTTGGTTCTGTTATACTTTCCCCTTCCATTGACTTTCTTGACGGCTTCTGTATCTTTTTCTCTTTTCAGGTGTTGCCAGTTTCGTAGCTTCTGTTCCCAGACTATATAAGACTTGTGGGGTCTCTTCTTTCATCAAGAAAACTCATGTGCCTCGATTCTAGTGACTTGGATCACGCTACTTTTTTTTTTTAGTGTTGGTGAAAATTGGTGACTCTTCTGTAAAAGAGTAGGCAATGGCAGCTGAAATCAAAATCCTGAGCAGCATATCTGATGTCAGACTAGTTGAATATGGACGTCCTGTGAATTCATGTCTTACAGCTTGCCTTCCATGAGAAAAGCACTTCGGTTTCAGATGTTGTTCTCTGCTCTTGCTGCTAGATACTGAACTAGCATCAGACACTCACTCCAAGTTTGATTTTAATATTGCATATTTTTGGTGGTTGAGGGGTTTCATGAAGCTCTTAATTGTATAAACTAGCCTGTTTGGTATAAGGGGGTTGTATGTTGAGAAGTTCATTGTTTTGCTTGGTCAAATTTTTACAATAAATATTGAGATTGCCTTTGAAAGTCAGTTTTTCTGTTCTTTGTATGCTATATGATTGGGGCTGCAATCCTAAACACGCTCACAAGGAGTAAGTCCAGTTGAGCTCAGTAGGCTTTATTTCTGATTATACATGTTTAGGATTGCACTGTGAGGGCACGAGGTTATTTTAGAGTCAGTATGCAAGCTTGAACTTAAAATCATAAACAGAACTATGTTTGACTACAGTTGTTCCTGTAGACACAGGAAATTGACACGCAAGTCTTTGGCAGAAAAACTTATAAATATAAATTCCTATAAATTTAGCCCCTCTGGTACAAAAAAAATTAACTCCTAATGAGTCAGTGGCTTCTGCAACAGTGTCAAGATCCTGTGATTATGTTTGAAATCTCTGGGGTTTGGATGGCGGTCTGCTATAACCACAGAATCAGAGAAAGTTAAGGGGATTAGGTGCTAGGCCCATTTGCACCCCGTTCAAAATGTCAAAAGAAGAGAGCTCTGAAAGGGGACTTGCATTTCTGTGCAGCCCTCGCTCAAAACATCAGAACATAATTCAGCACAGTAGGCACTGGCCATAGGCTTAAGGTCATAAGCAAAACAACTATGGCCAGGCTATCCTGGTTAATACGGAGTTGGCTGGGTAAGGAGATGGAGTCCGCTTCTGTCTCTTAATAATCAGAATAAGTTTTATATGTGTGATTCAACACTACATGCTTAATTCCCCACAGTATGTGGCACAGTTAACTTTTTCCTTTTGCTGAAGTTGTGGAGGTTAATAAATTAAAAAGTAAAATTGCTTAAGCAGTATTTTTTTAGAATGAAATGTCAAGAGGATCAAAGTACAACTTAATCTGGGCACACCAAAAGCTAAAATCAGCCCTGAATTAGTGTGACTCTCTGACATGGCAAAGCTTATTTTGTGGAGTGTATTACCCAATCACCTGGAAAATGCTTGTGAGGATGAATTAAAATTTCATGAACCCCAAATATCTGTCTACCATCTGATGCGTTCTTCATGTGTTCTTGCAGCTTTAGAATATATACTGCACAAAATTGGCCCCTTACTGGATTGACCACATGGAATAATTGATACCCACTTGGAAAAGCACCCTGCTGTTTTAAGGGTGAACATATTCTGTACTGTACTCTTCTGAATACTCAGAAGCAGCTTGATGATTTGACTAGAAAAATGTGATTTTTTTGTTAATCTGTGAATCCTTATCATTATGCAGATGGGAATTTATATGTTTACAAGGCTTTTTGGGCTATCAAGCAGAACTTCATTTGAAATGGTGTTTGTGGAGTACCACCATATGGGCATTGTCTTCCTTTTAATAAATGATTGTATCATCATTGCATTAAGCAAGGATTACAGAGAACTGGACTTTTCTGCAAGACATGAAGAGTTGTTTTTTATAACCCGCATTTCTCTACCCTAAGGAGTCTCAAAGCAGCTTACAATTGCCTTCCCCTCCCCACAAGAGGTACCTTGTGAGGTAGGTGGGGCTGAGCTCTGAGAAAACTGTGACTGGACTAAAGTCACTCAGCAGGCTTCATGAGAAGTAGTGGGGAATCAAATTCGGTTCTCTTAATCACTACACTATGCTGGCCCAGGAAACCGGGCAAGATGTGCTTTGAAATCATGACACTTCCTTATACTTAGTCCAGTGGTTGGTCTGTCAAGGTCAGTATTGTCTACTCTGACTGGTAGTAGCTTGGGTAGAGTTCTTTCACATCACCTCCTTTTCGATCCTTTTAACTAGAGATGCTGGACATTGAACCTGGGACCCTCTGCATGCAAAACAGATGTTCTTCTACTGAGTTACAGCCTGTCCCCATTAATGCTTTGCACCATGGCTCTATTCATGCACTGCACAGAGCACTTGTGTGGGAAAAGGAAAAGACTGCAGACTGTCCAACAGTCTAATGATTTGATCTCATTCTATTCATGTATATTTAATGAAGCACTTCATCGTGCATTATGAAGTATCTAGTCTACAGGCTATTGTAGCTAACTCTTTTTGGTACACAATAGATCTTGCGTGTTATAAGCACAAACTCTTGTGACTGTGGAAATGAATCAAATGGCAAAACTATGTATAGTATTTGATTGTCATTGGCTTGTCCATTGAAGGAGTGTGTGTAAATGTATACCGGACATTCAAAACACAATTTGTCAATAAATATTAGTTCCTGTTTGTGGTGCTTGGATTGAAGCATAGAGATGATCTATGAGTTCTAAAAGCATTTACACAGGTATTATTTGGTTAATTCATTACCACACTTGTATCCTGCCCTTTCTCAGTGTAGCATACATACAGTTCTCCTTACCACAATCCTATAAAATAACCTAGGCTCAGGGAAACAAGGATTTCTCCAAAACCACCCAGTGAGTTTCATGGTATGTCTGGGTATTCCATAACAGACAACCCTAGGCCAAGTTCAGCACTGTCCATGATACATTTTTTGGTTTTACACCAAGCAGAATTTTTCATTCACAGTAGTTGCCATTTGCTGAATATCAGTATAATGTTAGTAAATGCCAATGTAGTAACAGTGCTAGCCTAGCCAGGGAGATTGTTGTTACTGGAACATCCTGTGCCTGCCAAGTGAGGCAGAATCCTACAGCAGAAACTGCCCTTGTTCCCACTACAACTCACAAATCTTGTGTAATCTAACATTTGGCCTCTACATCAATTATTCTCCATTGTACTATAAAAGAACTTGTGCTCATGTAGTTATCAGTCCTCACTCTACTTATCAGAAAGTATTCAGTGGGACCTGCTCAGGTATAATAAGCATGTTTAATGGGATGTTGCAAAGTGATTGGATAGACTTAGGCTATAAAATGGCCTGCACTGATTGAAGTTAAAAATCAACAGATCTTGAAACTATAAAGAAGTTCCTGAGGATGGTAAAAGGCTAATGATCTGCTAATTGTTTAAAAGATTAAAATGAAATAATCGTGGAGTTTGGAACAAAGGATAAGAGGTTTTAACATAAGGCATTTCTCAAGGATTCTCCTATTCTTTACTAGCTGCTTTATCAGAGCTAATTAAAGGAGGGGGGGGAGTTAAGGATATCGGTTCTGCAGTAGAAACAATGATGCTGGAGATTCTAAGCAAGAGAAGAAAGTCAGATTAATACGGCTTCAGTATAAAGACAACTGTTTGATTGCATTATTTTTATTTCAGTCATATATGAGGTAAGCTGCTGCAATCCAGAAAAGGAGATCCATGTTCACAACTTTGGCACTTTGTAGAATTCATGCATATGTTTGAGCTTTGTGCAGAAGTATCACAGACTCTAGCTATTGCGTTTTATAACCTTTTGACCCTGCTATATCCCCATGTGTATGCTAAGAAATAAGCCCTATTTAAATCCATTGGGGCTTACTCAAGTATAAGCATGTTTAGGGTTACATTGACTATCTGTGAAGAGACTTGTCAGACTTTGTACACTGGATGATGTGGACAAAAGATGATGCCACATTAAGCCTGTTAGTCTTTTAGGTACCACAGGCTTCCTCGGGAGGTGGTGGGCTCTCATTCTTTGGAGGTTTTCAAACAGAGGCTAGATGGCCATCTGACAGCAATGCTGATTCTGTGAACTTAGGCAAATCATGAGAGGGAGGGCAGGAAGGGTTGCATCAGTGCTTGGTTCTTGTGGCCCTTTCTTACATGCCCAGGGAAATGCTGATTGCCACTTTGGGGTCAGGAAGCAATTTTTCTCCAGGCCAGTTTGACTGGAGAGCCTGGAGATTTTTGTCGCCTTCTGGGCATGGAATTGTGGTCACTTGGGGTGTGGAGGGGGAGGTATTTGTGAATTTCCTTCATTGTGCAGGGGGTTGGACTACATAACCCTGGAGATCCCTTCCAACTGTATGATTCTAAGACTGTCTTGTGTTATAACTAACATAGCTACTGCATCCCCACCTGGGGCTGTTAGTGTACAGTGAAGTGTGACTAGAGCTACACCGTCACAATCCATTTCCTGTCCTACCATATAAATTAAGAGGAAACAGGGAACACTGGATGGTACCTGGTTAACAGGAGCACCGTAATAACACAAGACCAGGAAATACCTTTTGAGGAAGAGCCAGCCATGTGTAGTATTTGCTCTGGCAGGGGTTGTCTGGTATGTTGTAATCAAAGGATGGGTGATTCTTGGCTTAATCAAAAATTGCTCTGATTATATTTCAGGTTGTGCAGACATAGGTCAGTGCCAGGAAGCAAGGCCATGACAGACTAGTTTGCTCTTAGTGCTTAGAGATTAAAAACCCTCCTAACAGAGCTGCACAGACACAAAATCAGGACACAGTCAAGAGCCTGCTCTGCTGAGCTGATGCCATGCCTTTGTGGCCTGTGGCTCCTCACAAACAATGGGGAGTCGGGATGGGCAACCACCATGGATTCTTTGCTGTGTTTGGAAGGAAGGGAGGATGGACATGGCATTACCAGAGACCAATTTCTGTGCCCATCATTCCCACCACAGTGGGAAAATAGAAGATGAATTGATCTCGGGCCATAGCCTCATGTAAAGGCTCGATTCCGCTGTTTGCCTGCTTGTTATTGCATATGATATATAGTGAGGTCATGCTAAATGAGGGACCTTTTTATTCTGTTAATTACTGAAGGGCTTGATAATGATATTCCCCTTTGTTCTCACAACAGCAAGATAGATGCAGAATAGTGGCCTTGTTCTGTCATTGAAGGAAAATGAGAAAACAAATCTATAATGATTCATCATAGTTGGTGGTATGCTTCAAACCTTTCCTCTGTTTTTAAAAAGAATAAAGCAAAGGTGGCGATAGCTGAAGCTTTAATAAAAGTGCTTGGGAGGCATTTCTGATATCGCTGAGCTCTTAAAATCAAAACTGTAAGCAATAGAACAAATTATTCAGATTTCAAAATTCAGTGCACTTTAATTATTTTTTTATCAATTTGCAAAACAAGATTTTTCCCTGCACCCCATCCCTGCACTTTTCCTTGTCTCCATCATCTGACAGTGAACTCAAGTCCATAAGTTTATGCTACAATTAATATTTAATGTACCAGAGTACTCTTTGTTGATTTTCTGTTATTCTATAAGAACGGTCAGATCAGTTGTGGTGTATCTCTACATCTTGCCTCAGGCAAAGGGTAATAATAGCTTCAAATATAAGGAGGAAATCAATGGGGGGGGTTTCCATCGTCTGCCACCTATTCTCAGCTTCTAGCATGACAATTTTTCTCCTTCTCTATCACAATTTGGTCCTGCCATTGCTCCAAGGAGCTTAAGGTAGCATGAATCATTCTCCTGTCTACCATCTTATCTTCACAACAACCTTGTTAGGTAAGTACAGTTGAGAGAGACATCTGGCCCCATGGTCACTCCTCAAGAAAAAAGAGGAAAATTCCATGCTCAGTGTTTTACAGTAGATCAGCGAGGTCTTCCAATATTTGGTGCTGGGGGGGGGGAACAGTGGGAGGGCTTCTAATGTCCTGGCCCCACTGGTGGACCTCCTGATGGCACCTGGTATTTTTGGCCACTGTGTGACAGAGTGTTGGACTGGATGGGCCTTTGGCCTGATCCAACATAGGTGTCTCTTATGTTCTTATGTTATCTGCCATGAACTCTGTTTTCAGACCTGAATACTATGGTAAGGCAACTGTGAGTGGGGTGTGTGTGTGTCATGGCTGTTGACCTATGGGAGAGAGCACCTATAACAGGGTATCTCTGCTAATACTTTGCTTAGACCTGTAGGTGCTAAAGAGGATGGGTTGTATCCAGTTAGCCACTCAATGTGCAGGAGAAAGTTGTCCTGTGAGGGTACCTGGAGGAGGCTTTACATTGCCTGATCTGTTTGTTAAACAGCAAGTGATTAATGTTTCTAGCCAGTCAATGGGTTTGTACACCCAGTTCACTGATTTGGGATACCACTAGTCTGTTGGGAAGATACAGTCTTGAATCCTTTTAATTTTGAATCAGAAATTCAGGTTGTGTGTCATTCGCCTTTTTTTTTTAATTAAGTGTTTTATATGTTAACATATTTAAAACAAGGTCATGGCATATCAACAAACCAGGTAAAAGGAAACAAACCTTCCCTGAAATCAATAATAATAATGGTTCTTTTTCTTAACTCTGAATTATTTAAAGGCACGACAGTCTGCCAGGGAAGCTGCAAGTTTCTGCTTTTCCCTCCTATTGACCCCATTGTGTCTAAAATTCAGCTATGATGCCTAATATTCAAAAGGGTGCTGAGAATTTGGCAAATTAGGTTCATTTCTAACACACAGCTCAATTGTGAAATTAAGCTCATTTCTATACATACATACATATATACATATATACATACATATATACATATACATTATATATATATATATATACATATATACATACATATATACATATATATAGGCTTTTATGCTAATACTTTCCTAAAAATAAGGTCTGTTATAGTTTGCAGTGAGGACTCAGGGTTCTTGTAGAATCAAAAGCAACCAGATACTCCTGGGAAATCTCAACTATAGGTTGGTGGAAGGTGATTTAACTACACTGATTAAATCAACTTCTTAAGCACCTATTCTCTGTGGCTTAAACAGGTAAACAAACCTGGTTTTAGCTGAACATTGTTTCAGCTAGCCAAAGTCCAGTGCATGGCTTTACCATTAAACGTTTGCTTTCCTTGCTCTTTCTTTCAGTGTGCTAAGCCACAACCAGAAAAGAATATTTGTGAGCACCCTCTGCTTAGATTATACAGCAAGTAATTTTAAATGGGGCACCGGACTAATGTGCAATTCATTAATTTAAACATGTATACTCAACTCTGCCCATCATCAAAAAGTGGTCCAAGAAAGTTTACAAGTGTAAAATCAAGTGTAAAATCATACCGCACAAATGTATTAAAAACATTATAAATACAAAAAGATACAAAACCACTCCAAATTCATCTCTACAGCACTTACAGAGCTTCACAAACATTACTAACCGCTTGATCAGCCGGGTCTCGTTCTTCTGCCCTGGGTCCTTCAGGGGCTTCTCGGTCGTCCGCCATTCTGGCGTCGATTCAGCGGGGCTGCCTACCTGCTCTAGAATCCCATCCTTGTCGCCAAGTGTTAAGTACGAGACTCAACACAACTAGTGAACAGTGATTCAGCTTTATTCAACATAGTCAGAAGAAATCAAGAACGAGACAAAAACATAAAGCAACAGGCTCTCTTTTAAACAGTCCGGGCTTTCGTAGCCACGCCCACATGTCAGCTAACAACCAATAACTATTTACAGATAAACTCTATTGTGTAGTGGGTTTGCCGCATGGGTGAAGGACAAAGACGGGCATAGTGCATAGCACGCTTTCTTGGTACACAACAAGAGATGCCGCTAATGGCCGGCAGGCCAACTATATACACTCTTGGGGACACACCCCTGAGCCCCCTTGGAGGGTTTGAATCTCCCGCCACGGTGCTCATTGGCTCCCCAGTGGAGGGACTAGGAGCCTAGTCCCTATTGTTCTCCCAGAGTCAAGCTCTGGGATACTCGCTGGCCCCAGTGGCGGCCAGCGGACACAACAAAGTCCGATCAGAGTGCTTCCCTCCAGAATACTACGCAGCTCTGATTGGTCTATTTACAATTCTTTTTGAGTCCAAAGCTTAACATGGTTTTTCAATACATAACATGGATAGTTCTCAGAATGGATAGAAGCAAGTAAGCAGTGGGGGCTCAGTGAAACCCAGTGTGCTGCAACAGTGAAAAAGGCAAACTCTGCGTTAGGGATTATTAGGAAAGGGATTGGAAATAAAACAGCCAATATTGTAATGCCCCTGTATAGATATATGGTATGGACTCGTTTGGAATACTATGAACAGTTCTGATCACTGTATATCAAAAAAAGACACTGCAGAGTTGGAAAAAGTACAGAGGAGGGCAACCAAGATGATTAGAGGGTTGGAGCATCTTCCCTATGAGGAAAGGCTGGGACATTCCAGTTTAGAAAAGAGACAACAAAGGGGGGACATGATAGATGTTTATAAAATTATGCATGGGGTGGAGAGAGTTGCCAAAGAGAATCTTTTCACCCTCTCCCAAAATACTAGAACTCAAGGGCATTCAATGAAGCTGATGGGCAGTAGGTTCAGGAAGGAGAAAAGGAAATACTTCTTTACATAGCAAGTGATTAAAATGTGAAATTCACTGCCAGAGGATGTAGTGATGGCCACAGAAATAAACAGCTTTAAAAGGGGATGAGACAGATATACGGAGGATAGGTCTATCAGTGGTTACTAGCCATGGTGACTGAGGGGGACCTCTACATTCAGAGGCACTAAACCTCTGAATCCCAGAGCCAGGAGGCAACATGAGGAGAAAGTCTCAGCCTCTATGCCCTGCTGTTGGCCCTCCAGAGGAACTGTGTGAGATAGGATGTTGGGCTAGATGAGCCACTGGTCAGATCCAGCAGGCATCTTCCTATGTTCTTAAGCAGAATAACATATAAGCCAATTATTTGTTTCCTGGTTTAAACTAAGGAATATCTTCTTTGCTTTTACCAAACTCACAAGTAATGATAATTTGTATGAGAAATGGTATATTATACCAGGGCCCCATTACACAAGAGACCTCATTTTATCCCAAATCCATGTAATATTGGGTTGCCAACTTCCAGGTGGGCCCCCGGAGAGCTACTGGAATTACAACCAATCTCCAGGTGACACAGATAAGTTCCCCTGCAGAAAATGGCTGCATTTGAGGGGGAACTCCATGGCAACCTACCCCTTCGCCTCCCCAAACACCAGCCTGCCCAGGTTCCACCCCCAAATCCCAGGAATTTCCCAACCCAAAGTGGGCACTGCTAATTAACACATTCTATTAAGACTAATTGAAGGTCAAGGAAGACGGGGACGGCAAAGGTTGAGATGGTTAGACAGTGTCATCGATGCAACGAACATGAAATTGAGCCCACTTCAGAGGACGGCGGAAGACAGGAGGGCCTGGCGAGAGATGATCCATGGGGTCGCGAAGAGTCGGACTCGACTGTGCGACTGAACAACAACAACAAAATTAAGACTAATAAAAACAACACATAACATTGTGCATACTTCCAAGTTCTTCAGAACTTTTAATCAGGCAGGCTGGATGTGATTTTTTTGTTTTTAAATAAAGTCAGCCTAATGAAGTTCTGGAGAACTCAAAAGCTGGCACAATGTTGTGTTATTTTATTTGGCATGCCGTTGATCACACATCCTTTCTTCAAATAAAATAAAAAGCTGGAGGCTAAACATGTAAGGGGAGTGGATCCCAATATCTTTCCGCTTCTCCCCAGCAGTCCTACGTTCTTATAATTTTATTTTAAACAAGACGCTTGCTCTATCCTTAAGACTGTGTGGATGCTGTAGAGGCGAGCATCTTTTAATGGTTTTCCACATGGGTCGCATGCTTTTCTCTCCAACTGATGAAGGTTCTGTTTGTTTTTTGGTTGGGGGGGGGGGTTGGACCCCCTCCAACGCCATGCAAAACACGAAGGGGTCCCAGCAGCTTCTTCTCGGTCTCTAGTACCACGGAGCCAGCGGCCACGGGCGCGGCGACTCTGGTCTTGTTTTGGAAGCAGCTCGGCTCTTTTTCACAGCGCAGGCGCTGCCTCCTCGTCGCTGCCGCAGCGAAGCTTGAGTGGGAGGAGGCTCAGGGCCGCCTTTGCTTCTGTCCCACCCACTCAGCCCCGCTCCCCGCATCCATCCGGAGCTCGGAAAGTAGCAGCAGCGGCAGCAGGAGGAGGCGGCGGAAAGAAAACGGCCTCCTGCCCTCCGCGCGGAAGCAAAGCAGGGCTCTTTGCTCGCAAGGGCCCGTAAGGCTGCCACAGTCCTCCTCCTTTGGAGCCCTCGCTGCTTGGCCAGCCAGGATGGCCGTTCCCCTGACGGACAGCGAGAAAAGGAAGCAGATCAGCGTGCGAGGCATCGCCGGGCTGGGTGATGTGGCCGAGATTCGGAAGAGCTTCAACCGGCATCTCCATTTCACGCTTGTCAAAGACAGGAACGTGGCCACCCCGCGGGATTATTATTTCGCTCTGGCGCACACGGTCAGAGATCATTTGGTGGGACGCTGGATCCGGACGCAGCAGTATTATTATGAGAAGGACCCCAAGGTAAACCTTGCCCCCAACGCGGGCAGGCATCTCCCCCCGCCCCCCCTTTCCCAGAGTATTCCCGGTCTCACGTATTGCAAAGGCACGCAGGGCGGCCTTGCCGGCTGGAAATTCCCCCTCTGCTGGCGATTGGGTGTTGTTTTTTTCCAGCTGCGGTTTCCTTTGCAGGGAAATTGTGCGCCAAAAACCTACCGGAGCGTGGCGAGCAAGAATTCCCTGCCCTCGTCGTGTGGGTAGGAACAAACACGGTACAGTCCCTGCTAAAATCAGTGGCAGCTCCCCCGGCCGTCTCCTCGGGTGGATTTTAAAATTGCTGTGGGAGGCTCCCACTGTGGAGCCACGGGGAGAATTGACGGGTTGAGCAGTTATGATTGGCATGTCTGTCAAGGCCTGGAATTTAGAGGAGGTGCGCAGGCAGGCTGGATGACAACACTTTTTTGAGTGCTACTATTCAGTAAAGCCAACCCCGAGATTTTTTGCTTGCTCCCTCAGGCGAATTTGAATTTTGCTGCAGCCTCCCCTGTGCCTTATGCTATGCCAAACAGCATTCACCAGGACAGGCACAAGTCTAGGTATGGTTGAAGATAACTTGTGCCTGACTTGTACTACTTCAGGCTGCAGGTAGGTCTCGCATGGTTGAATGATCTTCCACATTTAAAACAACTCAGATCACCAAAAACTAACAGGGGTGAAAAATCGCCTGGAAATCTCCCTGACAGCTAGTTTTCTGTGGAGTGAACTTTTTTTGTGTGGAAGAGCATCCATTTAGGCAGAAGTGGTACAGTCGTGACACAGGTTTACCATTTAATGGGAAACTAGGCCTAAATAATCAAGAGCTGACTTGGAATGCTATTCTGTTTTTGTTTTTAATGTCTGTCACTTTATGGGGTCTGTGCCCTTGAAAGACATTGGAGATAGGCGGCTTTCATTTGTACACATTTGGGCCCACAAATTTCGATGCTCTCCCTGTACGCCTCATCCAAAAAAGTAGGCAGTGGCTTTCTCTCAGCCATTTATTTACATGGATGAGAGAGGTGCCCCCTGTAATTCAGGCTCCTCAAGGTAGGCGCCCCTGTGAATCAGGCCCCTAGCATTCCTCTATGATTAGGCTGGCCTTGAAAAGAAGAGAGAGGTTGGTGAGTGTTGATGTATGTCATTTTACTTTGGAAGTACTGGGAGGTCATAGGAGTTAAGAGATGTTGTTCCATACAAATTTAATTGCGATCGAAATGCTTGTGCTATGACATGAAAATGTTTTGAAAGTATGTTTTCTAACCACCAAACACTACCTTTGAAGGCCCTGAAGTATCTGAGGGCATTTCATAAGAAAAGGAAGGTTACTTTGCTCAATCAGTGAATCCATTTAGTCCAGTACTCTGTCTCCATAAATGGCCTCCCAGATATTCCTTGGGAACTAGGCCAGAATAAGGCATGCTGAGGTTCTGAACTATGTCTAGAAGCTCCATAGCATTACTCCTCCCAAGGTCATCTATTAATTTTCAGTATTATTTTTAATATTAAGAGGCCTCTCATAATCTGAGCTGGGGTGTCAAGCATAAGGCCCGGGGGCCAGAACTGGCCCATCCAGGGCTCTTATGCGGCCCGCGAGCAACTGGGGCAAGGGAGGGAGTGCTGGGGGAGTGGGTGGAGGAGCTCCATTGTGGCTTCAGCATGGCAGAACAACCTTGTCTTCAACAGTCAAGAATCGTGGACGTGTCTGTGCAGTGCTGCCTCTTCAGTCCACCTGTGTGGGTTTTCTTCTGCAGCCCCCTCCCAGCCCACGAAGCCTTGCAGTGAGGATATACCAACTCGGAGCTTACCAGTTGCTGTCCTTTATACAGTTTCTCTCTCCAGTACCTGGCATTACTTTTTATGGCATACATGGCCCGGCCCAAAAAAGTGACATTTATATTAGATCTGGCTCTCGTGACGAGTTTGACACCTCTGCCCTTAACTGTAGCTTACTTAGCTTGTACATAAATCCAGCTGTGCTTGGGAAATTCATAAGCCAGGGCATGGTAGAGGCAGAGATCCCTGTGGTTGGTCCTCAGCATCTGGTACACAGTGCCTCTCATCATGGATGTTTGGTATTACTGTTACATGCTAGACTTTGGTATATCTGTCTGCCACGAATGTGTTAGTATTAAGTGTCCATCAGTGCATTTTGTGGCAAAGAATTCCAAAAGTTATTGTGTTGTGTGAAGGGGAAATGTTTTTTCCTTTTTTCCTTGAACAGGTACATTGGGTGACCTTGAGTTCTAGTGTTCTGGAGTGAAGATGATTTCTCTCTATTCGTTCTTTCCATACCATTAGGTTTTATTGCCCATTTCTCTGCCTTCTTCTGCTGTACAGTAATAAGAACACAATTCACTATTTGGCACGAACCTCAGAGGTCTCTGCCATCTGTCATCACAGTAGCAGGCAATTCCAGAAGAACAAGAATACAAAAGGGAAAAGAACAAGGGATATTGCAAGGATAATAAGAGAATGTCTAAAAAGTAGGTTCCGTTCAGTGGCATTCTTGACAGTGAAGGACAGGGGAGGGTATGATTAATAGAAGGGAGGCAGACATACAGGGAACTGCAGATGGGCAGGATGTAATGTAATGATGTATATAATTTGTTTTGCAGGGTTCAACTTACAGTATATTTGGGACAGATATGCAAAAGCTTGCATGCTCTTCTACTAACAAAAATGGGTTATAAACAAAATGTCACTGTACTGTGTTTTGATGCGTGTAGCGAAGGAAGAGAGTGGGGAGGTACCGACATACTTCTATGGGGTCGCCAAAAGTCAGCTGCGACTTGACAGTATTTTCCACCACCACACTTATTTATATGTGTATGTTTTATATAAAGTGTCTAGCTCCAACAAGAAATCAACTCTACCCTTGGGTGTTGGGTTTTGCCTTATAAGAAATTCTTTCTTTTTTATTATTTGTAATTTTTATTCAAAAAAATTGTGACAATACAGAGTTTTACGCAAAAACTTTGTACAATATAAAAAGTATGCTTCTAAAAAGATGTTGACAAATAACGATATGTTAATATATTTTTAGTTAACATCTTATTTCAACTGAGCATATTAAATTCGCTCAGAATCTCTGTTTACGAGAGTGAGGGTTTCCCCTCCTCCTCCCTAAAATCTTTTCGCTTGGGGGGGGGGACGCGCTTAGCTCTTTTTTCAGTTCGACAACTCACATTCTTTTCCAAATACCTTCAGTATTGGAGCTTTCTTTGCAAGTATAAAGAAAATTGGTGCTTTTCTCTGACTTATATCTATAATTAGGTTTGCAATGGATATAAATTTTAAGTGATTTCTCTTTTTCCCTTTATAGGGTAATTTTGATTTTTGATTTTCTCAAGTCATTTATATCCACTTAATATAGTTATTCCATGTTGATGAAATAAATTTCTCATTTGACAAGAATTCCAGAATTAGATACCATTTAGCATTGAATCTAGACTTGACAGGAATTCTACTGTTTCTATTATGTTTATCTGTGATACTTTCCATAATGAATTGATCCCATATTTTTTTGTGCCATGTTTGGATATTTGGTGGAGAGGGGTCTTTCCAGTATGAGGCTATGGAATAAGGAATTCTTTCATAAGAGAGAAAAAACTTGTGCAGTGAACTTTATGGAACTCTCATTTATGTAAATAGTATTGTCCAGGTAAGTTGCTTTCTACAGGTTACCACCACTACTGAAAGGAAAGGTTCCTGCTCCAAAGAGCATTTAATCTGTGTTTTAAAATGGAGGAGACAAAAAAGAGGAAAGAGTAATAAGGGATAGAGATGAGCAAATACAATGTGTAGTTGTGCTTCCTTTCTATTGGGTATGAGGAATAAAAGAGGTGAAAGGAGGTTTTTGATTGAGAAGGGATTTGAAGGAAGAGGTGGAGCTGCCATAGAATGGAGGCCTTTGCAGTTTGAGAGGAAATGGACGAGATGCACAATGCACACATGATGTTGCCTTACACTGAGTCATACCATTAGTCTATCAAGGTCAGTTTTGTATATTCTGATGGACAGAAGCTCTGCAGGATCTCAGGTCAAGGGCTGTCTTTTAACTGGATATATTGGGGGTTGAGCCTGCTAACTGAATTCCCTACCTGTGAGTCACAGTCTCTTCCAATATGTGGGTGGAACCTTGGATTTAGGGGCTGAGCTGGTGGGTAAATTGGGCCCCTGGATCTCCAGTTGCTCATTCTTAATGGAGGACAACTTGGCATCTTGTCACTTCTGTGGTACAAGGCTGGATTTGGTGATGGGGGGAGGTAGCTGGAATAGCTGGAAACTTCCTTGCACCACCTTCTTGCCTTTCAGCTTTCAGCCTCCTGAATGACCACTGGAAAGGTTTTCAGCTTTCCTGCCAAAACTCAATTTCAAATGCATTAATGCATTTAGGCCTCTAATACAGCACCATTATCAATCTTCCATATATAACCAAGCCCTTAAATAAATAAAACTATCCTTCCAAATCTGTTGCTCTCAAAGCTTTTCCAACTTTGTCCATAGGCAGAACATTTCAGGCCATACTTTTTTTCTAGCAGCAGCGCAGAATGCAACAAGCTAACTGATGGATAGATCCATCCAAGGTATATGAGAGATCTCTGATGGGCTCTGTCTCAGATACCTTTGATAGAACTTAGTTGTACAGTTAAATAGCACTTGGCATGCCTAAACATGACTGCAGAAAATTGAAGTCACTGTGGCTCTACTCTGGCAGGAAAGGTTTGCGAAGTTATCATAGTAAGAGACATCAAGAACGTGTGGTTTTCATGCTAAGTTCTGGAGAATGCTTTAGCTTTTCAGGTGCTTATTGGGTGTTCCTCAGGTAGAGGATAGTTGAATCGGCATGTTTCTCTGTAAAACAGTGTGCCCACTAATGCTTGTCTTTTGCAGTGTGCAAACTGCAGGGAAGCTCAGGGTATGTACTGGTGCCACACTAAACCCTTCAGGGGTCTGTTAGGACCAGTCAGGGCTGGGTTGACCTT